TATTTTGCCTGTTAAAACAAGTGAGCTGTGTTAGCTTAGTTCTTTTTTGATGTAGGCTATTATGATTAGCTTTGTCACTGTTTCACTACTCAGCATGGAAACAAGATGAAATTCCATTTGTAGGTAGGGAGACAAAATTAATAATACATTAAATAAACAATAAAAGTGTCCACTGGGGAAAAAAAAAAAAAGATCCATCACTATTATCAAGTAAGATTCATCCTAGGGATGCAAGGATGGTTCAACATATGCAAACTAACAGGATACATGACATTAATAGAATCAAGGACAAAAACCACATGATCATTTCAACAGATGCTAAAAAAGCATTTGAAAAAAACTGATATTGCTTTATGAGAAAAGCTCTCAACAAACTAGGTACAGAAGGAACATATCTCAAAATGATAAAGGCTATATATAACAAACCCACAGCTAACATCATACTGAAGAGGGAAAATTTGAAAGCCTTTCCTCTAAGATCTAGAACAAGACAAGGATGCCCACTTTCACCATTTTTATTTTACATAGTGAAGTCCTAGTCAAAGCCCTTTGGCAAGAGAAAGAAAAAAAAGGCATCCAAATTTGAAAAAAAAAAAAAAAAGTCAAATTATCCTTATTCACAAACAACACATTATATTTAGAAAAACCTAAAGACTCCACACACATTAAAAAAAAAGAAAAACAAAACCAAACCTAACCAAACAGATAAATTTGGTAAAGTTTCAGGATATAAAATCAGTATATAAAAATCAAATGGCTGGGCACAGTGGCTCATGCCTGTAATCGCAGCACTTTCAGAGGTCCAGGCAGGTGGATCGCTTGACCTCAGGAATTTGGGGCCAGCCTGGGCAACATGGCAAAACTCCATCTCTACAGAAAAAAAAAAAAAAGCTAGGCTTGATGGTGCACAACTGTAGTCCCTGATATTCGAGAGACTGAGGTGGGAGAATTACTTAAGCCTGGGAGGTTGAGACTGGAGTGAACCATGATCACACCACTGCACTCCAGCCCAGGTGACAGAGCGAGACTCTGTCTCCAAAAAAAAAAAAAAAGAAACCAATTGCATAGCTTTATGCCAACAACAAACAAACTAGAAAAGAAATCAAGAAAGCAATACCATTTACAATAGCTACGAAAAAAAAATATGTAAAATACCTAGGAATAATATTTGACCAAAATGTACAAAGCTATGAAACACTAATGAAGAAAATAAAATAGGACACCAGAAAATGAAAAGATATCCCTTATTCATGGTTTAAAAGAATTTAATATTGTTAAAATATCTCTACTACCCAAAGCGATCTACAAGACCAATGCAATCCCTATCAAAATACCAATGATATTCTTTACATAAACAGAGAAAACCTAAAATTCATATGGAACCTGAATAGCCAAAGTAATCCTGAGCAAAAAGAATAAAGCTGGACACATCACACTAACTGACTTCAAAATATACCAAAGTTATAGTAACCAAAACATTATGGTAATGGCATAAAAACAGACCAATGGCACAGAACAGACAACCCGGAAATAAATCATGCATTTACAGCCAACTCATCTTCAACAAGGGCGGCTTGAGAATATACCAGAAAAAGATAGTGTCTTCAATAAATGGTGCTGGGAAAACTGGATAACCATATGCTGCAGGAGAATTAAACTAGACCCCTACCTCTTGCCATATTCAAAAATAAAACTGAAATAGATTAAAGACTTAAATTTGGGACCTGATACCATAGAACTATTTAAAGAAAACACTGGGAAAATGCTTTGGGACACTGGTCTAGGCAAAGACTTTTTGGATAAGACCTCAAAAGCACAATCAACACAAGTAAAAACATATAGGATTACATCAAGCTTAAAGGCTACACAGTAAAGGAAACAATCAACAGAGTAGAGACAATATACAGAAAGAGAGAAATTATTTGCAAACTATCTGTCTAATAAGAGATTAATAACCAGAAAACATAAGGAACTCAAAATACTCCACAAGCTTGGCGGAGTGCTTTGAATTCCTTAAAAAAAAAAAACAAAAAAAAACCTGATTTAAAAACAGGCAAAAGATCTGAATAGGCATATCTCAAAAGAAGACATACAATGGCAAACATGTATATGAAGAAATGTTCAACATTACTAAACACCAGGGAAATGTAAGTCAAAACCACAATGAGATTATCTCACCCCAGTTAGAGGCTTTAATTAAAAAAAAAAAAGATAGATGTTGGCATGGAAGTAGAGAAAGGGGAACACTTGTATAGTGTTGATGGGAATGTAAGTAGAGCTACACAGAAAACAGTATGGAGTTTCCTCAAAAAACTAAAAATAGAACTATAATCCAGCAATTCCATTGCTTGGCATATATCCCAATGAAAGGAAATCAGTATATTGAAGGGATATCTGGAGTCCCACATTTTTTGCAGCACTATTCACAGTAGCTAAGATATGGAACCAACCTAAATGTCCATCAATAGATGAATGGATAAAGAAAATGTGCTACATATACAGAATGAAGTATTATTCAGTAATAAAAAATTACTGAAATCCTGTCAAATATTGCAGCAATATGGATAGGACTGGAGGTCATATGTTAAGTGAAGTCAGTCAGGTACAGAAAGACAAATAGCACGTGTTCTCACTCATATGTGGGAGCTAAAAAAAAAAAAAAAAAAAGTGTATTTTATTTTATAGAGAGTTGATGTTGGTTACCAAAGGATGAGAAGGGGATGGGAGGGAACAAGAGAGGTTGGTTAGTGGGTATAAAAATATAGTCAGAAGGAGTAAGATCTTGCGTTAGCTAGTACAGTAGGGTTACTATAGTTAACAATAATGTATTTTATAGCTCGAAATAGCTAGAAGAGAAGATTTGGAATGCTCCCAACATAAAGAGAAATGTTTATGGTGGTAGATATGCCAATTACTCCAATTTGATTATTGCACATTTTATGTATGTATCAAAATATCACATGTACCCCTCAAAAATGTACAACTATTAGGTATGAATTTTTAAAAAGAAAGAAATTAAAATCAACAACTTTACTTTGTTTTTACTTCCATTTGCTTGTTAAATCTCTACCATCTCTCTTCATGGTTGTAATTTTGTTAGCGTGGCTGAAACAGAACTCTTGTAAACAACTAACAGTTAAATCTTATTTTTTAATTTAATCTGAATGTTTTTATCTTTTAATAGAATTTAAACCATTTTCATTTGCTGACATAACTGATGGGAAGCATGGTCTAGTAGAAAAAGTTCACAGACTTTGAAGTCAGATAGATCTGATTTTGAATTCCAACCAGCAGTTCAAAGTTCCTATCATAAGAATTAGTGATAATATATAAAAAGCATCAATATATGATATGTCCTCAATAAAATATATCTGTCATTTATTATATACTTTCTTAGGTTTCTTTCTTTTACTGTAATGGCAAAGTTTTACTTATTTTCATTTTCTCATTGTTTTGAAATTCCTTTCTCACTGATTTGAGTTCTACTAATTGACAGCTTTTTTAAAAAGATATAATCTTTATCATTTCTCCAATAAAATTTAGGATTAAATGGGATATAAATATATAGTATGCACAGAATATAGTTTCCCCTCTCCCCTTACACTTTATTTTGCTGTCTTTGTCTTTTATTTCACCTTGCTTTCTCTTATTTCATAGTATCATGTCTTTATAACTTAGTTGAGGATGCCAGGCATACATTTTGAAATGCTGCTTCTGGTCCTGTAGTAAAAAATTTTTCAGAGGTACAACTGCCCTCTGAATCAACAGGATAATGCTACCTTTTTCTAACGAAGTATTTTTTTCATAAAGTCCATGTTGGGATTTTTTCTGTTTATCATACTTAAATGAGGAAAGATCTGTGTAAACCTAGTGTTTGCCAACAATGTATGATTTTCTTTGAACTCCCCTGTCATGTCCACTAGGGCCTAAGCAGAACTCCCTTCTTTGATCAACTGAGTGGACAAGGACATGAACAATTTCCTTGCTTATAGCTCAATTTTCAATACGTGGCAGACTATCTGCTGACTGAGGTGGAATCACCCTCTCTTCCTACAGTCTCATTCGCTAACACCAAATAGAAGAGGAACATTAAAAACTGAAATCCCTGACCATGCTGTTAACAGAATTCTTCCTGGATCTGCTTCTATAAGCAGACCTTTATATCTTCCTCCAGAAGGTCACTGCCACCTTCTCTCTAGTATCTATATGCTACTTACTGGGAGCTACAGTTGCTGAGTAGTATCAAATGTGAGGAGAGAAGAAATGAGGATAATTCAATAACTGCTGGCCACTTACCATTTTAAAGCAAAAGTCAAGAAAGACTTTTAACAGCTGGCATTATTGGACAATGAACAACACACAATGACACTATATAAACTCTTTCATCATGGAATATATTCATACAGAAACTGGATGATCTATTACTAATGCAGGAGCAATTCCTATATCAGATGAGAGGCTGGTATATGAATTCTTTGGGCCCTTTCAGAGGCTAAGAGTCTAAAAAATAACATATTTTATCAACTCAGTTACCTAAATATTGTTTCAATAAATATTTCACTAAATTTCTTACGTGCGATAATTTGCATCTATCAGACTCCATTAATTAACAAAATATATAGCTGTGCTTAGGAAAACATGCTTTAAAAACTCATAGCCAAAAGTGGCAGAGGTATGCTCAAAATAAAGTTGTTTCAACTTAGTCTTACAATTCCTTCATTTTAAAATTGGTAAATAAAAAAGGTGCTTTACTGGTCTTTAGGTGGGCAAGATAAAGCAGGTCTATTTTTTTTAATTGTAATTAAATTACTTTGATTGATCTAATATAATATACTGGTTTGAACTACAGTATTTGCCATCTAAAGTCCAAAAGCTACTTATGCTGGAAATACTTCCAATTCACTTCTAGTTCAGTTAGGACAAGGAGTCATTGAAGATAGTTTCTCTACTTCCTTCACTGGCAGGTAACTCATAGAGCACTCATTCACATCAAATGATACCTTTAACAGATCATGTTCCCCAACATTTGCTGCATATGTCCATGTAAGTTTTCTGGTACCAGTAGGATCTGCCCAGGCAAAAAGTCGAGCTTGTCTTGGCAGCAAGACCATTTCTTCTGGTGACCCACTGAAACATGATGAACAGAGAGAAAATCAGCATTATCTTGGAGTTAAGAAATCCAAACCCGTAGTTTACTGAGGAGGGGATTAGCACAAAAGTCCTATGCAATTCCTTTGGTTAATAAAACACAACTCTACCTAAAAACAAGTACCCTAAAATGTCTAATAAGTTAATGGTTTTTAAGCTTGGGGAAACAGAATATTGCCCTTTCTGAAGCTTCAATGCACTCAGAATTGATCCAAGTGGAATCATGCCAATGGAATTCATTAGGGTAAACAGATTGCCAGATCAGAGTCCACCTGTAGAAATGGCTGTGAAGAGTAAATATCTTTAGTAGCCGAACTTTCACTCAGTGCTTAAATTTAAACATATTTTTTACAGACAGGGTCTTCCTATGTTTCCCAGGCTGGAAAGCAGTGGCCATTCACAGGCAAGATTATATTGCACTACAGCCTCAAACTCTTGGGCTCATGAGATCCTCCTACCCAAGCCTCTCAAGTAGCTGTGACTATAGGTATGCATTACTGTGACCAGTTAAGCTTTCTAATCAAATAAAATACTTAAGATATATTATGGGCTGCAGCAACAAAAAAAATTATGTCCATACCATTACTACACAAAGTGTGGTCTGTAAACAAGCAGAATAAGCATTACCTGGGGACTTGTGGGAAATGCAAAGTCCAGGGCCCCATCCAAAAGCTACTGAATCAAAATCTGCATCTTAACAAGACTCCCAGGAGACTTTAAAATTGATTATTACAGTTTAAGTATTTGTCCATTTAATGCAAAAAATATTCCAGAGAACTGGGAGAAAAAAAGTAATCCAACTAGGTTTTAATCCTAATCTGTACTTTTAAATCTCTCACTGGATTCACTCCATTAGAGTTAAGACTAGGGAAATCTTTAAGAAATTTACATATATACACACATTTATATGTGTGTATATATGTATAAATATATATACACATATATACATATGTTAATATAAATATACATAATTTTATAAATAAAATTATTCGATATTTTAAGGGCTTAAATTCTCCACCATTAAATAACGACATCATCCAAACCAAATGACAGCAAAGGCAAGAACAATGAAATTCCTATCAGCCAATGCTATACATTCAACATCACTATCTACTCATCATCTTCTCATTTAACCTTCTACTACCCCTACCCAAAAAAACTAAATACAGATTTATAGGAAAAGGGTCACTGAGCATTACCAAGTTACCAGGAAAGGGAATACTCAAACAGGTTCACTCCCTTACCTGCCATTTTGAAATTTAAAAAGCTCTAAAACCCCAAAGATTTTTCTGGAAGTTTGGTGTCAAAACTCATTTGGCAGCAAAACCTGACCTGAATTGATATGAAACTATTAATAATTTCTATTTTTCCCATTTGACGTGAATATTCATCAGTTTTGCTGCAGAAATATTAATGTGTTTACAGAGGGTTATCTCAAAACATGTAAGGATATTAGACATTAACACCACGTGTTCCGTATCACCTTTCTAAAATCTAAAAACATTCTGAATATGAAACCAAAGTGTTTCCCATTAGTTACTGTGAACCAATAAAAGTATTTCCTATTAACCGTTTTTTCTCATACCTCTGTTTGTATGTGAGGATGTCCCATGGTGTATGGTTCATTATCAAGGCAGGAGCAGATCCCTCATGGTAATCAGAAAAAGTTATGACAGTTGAATGTTCGGCAGTGTTTACATCCACCAAGATACCCCCATTCTATTGTAGGAAAGAAAAAAAAAAGTATGTTTGATGTACTGGTTTAATCTACACTTACATATGGAATTTCAATATTATGTAAAACACAAAAGCTTTGTTTTCCTTTTTCTTTTTTTTTTCGAGACAGAGTCTCGCTGGAGTGCGGTGGCGCCATCTCAGCTTACTGCAGCCTCCGCCTCCGCCTCCGCCTCCCAGATTCAACCAATTATCCTGCCCCAGCCTTCCGAGTAGCTGGGATTATAGGCATGTGCAACAATGCCCACTAATTTTTGTACTTTTTAATAGAAATGGGGTTTCACCATATTGGCTAGGCTGGTCTCGAACTCCTGACCTCATGATCCACCTGCCTCAGCCTCCTAAAGTGCTGGGATTACAGGCGTGAGCTTCCCCACTCAGCCTGTTTTCTTAAGTTCTTACTGAAAAGCAAACTGGCTCTGATCTGTTACAAATATATGTTGGCATTACATATTGATATAGCAGGACCTTCAAATAATTACCAGTAAATTTTGATAGCATGGTTTACTGAAATATCTCAAAGCAAATTTTAAAAATCAAAGACATTTTATTTTAAAATATGAAAACTTACCAGATCTTCTAAGCTCAATAAAGTGCCATTATCCTGTCGGTTATAGAAGAACGGTTTGGAAGATCCTTCACAGCCCACCACTCTCACACAAAGTTTGCCTGACAAATTTTCAGGCCAAAATGGAAGGCACTATAAATATAAAAGTTATTATCAGTCTTAAGGATAACACTGTAATATAATAAATAAGACATTAACTAATTAAATTTTCAGGCCGGGCGCGGTGGCTCAAGCCTGTAATCCCAGCACTTTGGGAGGCCGAGACGGGCGGATCACGAGGTCAGGAGATCAAGACCATCCTGGCTAACACGGTGAAACCCCGTCTCTACTAAAAAATACAAAAAAACTAGCCGGGCGAGGTGGCGGGCGCCTGTAGTCCCAGCTACTTGGGAGGCTGAGGCAGGAGAATGGTGTGAACCCAGGAGGCAGAGCTTGCAGTGAGCCGAGATCGGGCCACTGCACTCCAGTATGGGCAAGAGTCCCAGACTCCGCCTCAATAAAAAAAAAAAAAAAAAAAAATTTTCAATTCTGATTCTGATCTTGATTAAATTATTATGAAGCTTCTAAAAATATGTCCTCCACATCTCTTAGTAAGATTACTGACAATATAATGACTATGAAACCAAAGAAACTGCATCAGGAGAATACAGATATATTAGTCTATATGTATTTATGGTATAATTGCAGTATGAGAAACTGAAGAGTCTGTTGATTAAGAATTATAAAATTCATTCTTATTTAAAAATTGTATTTAAAAATTATAATCTCATTTGCTTTTGGGTATATCCACTTTAATTCACTAATACACGACGAATTCTTTCACAGAGTATCTTATCCTAGATAAACCAGAAAGACAACTGAACGCAGAGGAAAGAACACCACAGACCTTGCTGGAAGTTCTGACACCATCCTCCTAGATGTCTGATATTAATCAGACCATATACTTACTTCTTTAAGCCTCAGTTTTCACTGAATATTTCATTCCTAACACAAAATGTCCTTCTGTTATAGAATACTAGGTAAATTCTATTTCTGAATAAAAAATACTACTGTAATCAAACCCACAGCAAAGATTAAAAAAAAAAGAAGCATTTACTTGTTGCTGAGTTTAAGGAGATCATTCTAAGTGTCTTGAACACACCACGCTCTTAGAGCTTTTGGTTCATATTGTAATTAGAATCCCTCCTTTTCAGTCTTTTGCTAAAAATTTTTAAAATAATTTTAGAATCTTTTTTGCACAGTAGAAAGTGACCTTCATCCGGAGAGTCAGCTGGTTTGGTTGAAAACTCAGTCAAGATCAAGCACCAGTGCTCATCTTTGCACCTGTCCTCTTCTGGCACACATTCCCCCATTTGCTTCACCTCCTGGAATCTTACTGAGCATGAAGAGCTTAGTTCAAATCCCACCTTTTCTGTGAAACTTTTATCTTTTGATCTACAACACCATGATTTCAACTACCAATGACTTTATCAATCTTGGAAAAGTCTCCTTTTCAGTAAAGTGAGAGAGCGGAATTTTAGCTAATTTTCAAAGAAATTTCCAGCTCACCTATTCAGAAATTCTATAACCACCTATAACTTAGCATGTGCTATCTATCTCTCTATGTGCTGACTTTTACTACTCTTTTAAGACAATAGCTTCTTGAATATAGAGACATTATCTTGACTATGGAGACACCATATAATACATAATCTCTATATACTTTTTACAGTACATAGCTACATTCTACACATATAGGAAGAATTAGAAAAAACTATTAATGATCTAGACTGGGCTAGTGTAGGTATTATCAAAACTTTTCTTCTTTTTTTAAAAATATAGTATGAAAAAAATCTTTCAAAGCTGGCTGTCATATTTCAACACATAAATATGATAGAGTCTGAAAAAGAGGTATATACAATTCTTATTTAGATGTCAATATTTACTTGTATATTTTAAGAACCAGTTGTAATAAAGAAAAATGTTACCTCTGAAGAAGCAATATAGTTCCATTTATTAGTTGGCATTGAGCCATCAGATGCAATCTCGCCAACTTCTAGTTCTAAAGATGACTTGTTTGCAATGGTACAAAAGGGAGTCAGGGTAACTATTCGCGAAAGGTTGAAACTGCTCATTTTGATGCTAACACCAACCTGTGGAAAGGAAACAAGCTTATTTTCCAGTTTTTTCAATGTCTTTGAAATACACACACATCCCCTCATTCACACACAAACTTCTTAACATATTTTAAAATAATAATTCTTAAATAAAGCAACTATAAGTTACATTCTACTACAGATTATCGTCTAAGAAAAAAGAATTTTAGTTCCTTAGTTTTGCTCCATCAGAAACAATTCAAGAAATATCAATTAGTAATTTAACGACTTGTAATGACAGACTTAGTATGTCTAGAATTCCCTACTTTTTAAAATTTCAAACATAAATTGCTTTACAATTAGTGTACAAGTTTTATTATCTGTTATTAGTAAAACAAAAATTTTGAAGTAGTAATAAAATAGGTTAATTGGCATCAGATTACTAAAATTTTCATACTAGTCAAATTTAAGATTTAAGAAATGTCTGGCAAGGGGTGGCATAGAATAAGGATTCTACCATACTGTGAATATTTACCAAGTTGCTCACTTGGATGGATTAAACTCACTGTCTTAAACTTAGACAAATTCAGGTTTTGCTCTGGTATCAGTGACCATAAAAATTTGTAGTGATAACAGCCCTCCCTCCACATTATCACTTTAAATTCAAATTTCTGTACACTTTAGGAGCCAACTTGTTTGTTGAACTGTAGAAAAGGTGAATGGAATCAAAGGTAAATAAGGAAGCAGAATCTTACCAGGTACTCCATATTGTTGGCAGGACACTTCACACACCCATAACTTCCCACTGTATCCAATGAGAAACTACTGGACCAGGCACTAGTTGAAATTTTTAATTGTACCTATACCAGAGAGCACATATCGTCATATAAGCAATCTAAAACACTATAATAATTTTATTTGAGAGAAAGTTGCTGGACTACTAGAAATTTCTTTAGTACTGTGGGACACAGAAAAATATAATCAAAGCCATACTGCAAACAGGTAACAGAGCCACAAAAAACTCTAGGGAACAATAAAACAAAAACATAGTTCTGACTTTCTCATTCACCTATGCAATGAGTATAGTAAACCTAGATACCAATAAGATTCTGTATTGTTTTTAAGAAGAATTATAATGCAAAATGATGTTTTCCAGTGATAGACTTATGATACAGAGCTAACAAATCTTTAAAGTCTTAGCATATAGAGAATTTATGTCTTTAACATTATTCAGCAGACACTACATTAAAGACATTGTGATAGGCAGAATGGAAGACAATAGGACACAGTTCCTGTCTTCAATGAGCTTCCAACTAGACAGACTAGGAAATACATACTAAAAATTATGATACAAGACTCAATGGGATAAGAGCCATACAAGAGGCAAAAAATGCTATAGAGGTGAGAGGATAGTTTACTTCTGATTCTGGGATTTAGATAAAATTTTATAGAAGAGATCAAACTGTGCCCTTGTATTAATCTCACCCTCATCCATCCAATTAGTTTGTAAAAAACTTGAGGACAACTAGAGGTCAGACACATAAACAAGCAATTACAATACCACGTGTTAACCAACACTCAAAGAGAGTGGAGTTCCCAAAGCATCACCTGTTGGAAATGCAAAGTCTCAAACCATATCCAGACCTACTGAATCAAACTGTAGAGACAGGACCCAGTAATCAGCGTTTAAAACCCTTCAGGTGCCAGGTGCAGTGGCTCACACCTGTAATCCCAGCATTATGAGAGGCCGAGGCTGGCAGACCACCTGAGGTCAGGAGTTCGAGACCAGAATGGCCAACATGGTAAAATCCCATCTCTACTAAAAATACAAAAATTAGCAGGGTGTGGTGGCAGGCACCTGTAATCCTAGCTACTTGGGAGGTTGAGGCAGGAGAATTGCTTGAACCCGGGAGGCGCAGGTTGCAGTGAGCCAAGACCGTGCCATTGCACTCCAACCTGGGCAACAAGAACAAAACTCCATTTCCTTTTTTGTTTTTGTTTTGTTTTGCTTTTTGAGATGGGGTCTCACTCTGTTGCCCAGGCTGGAGTGCAATGGCACAATCTCAGCTGACTGCAACCTCTGCCTCCCAGGTTCAAGCGATTCTGCCTCAGCTGCCCGAGTAGCTGGGATTACAGGGGCCTGCCACCATGCCCAGCTAATTTGGTTTCACCAGCTGGTCAGGCTGGTCTCGAACTCCTGACCTCAGGTGATCCACCAGTCTCGGCCTCCCATAGTGCTGGCTGGGATTACAGGTATGAGCCACTGAGCCTGGCCAAAACTCCATCTCATAAAAAAAAAAAAAAAAAAAAAAAAAAAAAAAAAACCTTTAGGTGATTCTAATATACACTGAAATTTGAGAACCACTACTCCTATAAGAACACGGATGGGATGTCTAGGCCCATTTTAAATGGTTAGAAAATCTTCATATATATCAGGCTTGAGCAGAATGACAAATGAACAGCAGATAATCAGGGATGATGAGGAAGACAGAAAAAAAAAACAGGGAAAGAGGCACTGTAGGCAAAGGGTGCAGCATATACAAAAGCCTAGAGGTGAGTCCTTGAGAAAGTGTGTGGTGAGGGATACCAAAACATAAGCCTGAAGAGGAAAGAAGGGACCAGAGCATAAAGGACGAGGCTTAGGCATTAGGTTTCTCTCCCAAAGGCCTGGCTGAGTGCTTCACACATAGGAAGACTCATCTAATATACGCCAAATTCAATGGTAACTTCTTTAAAAATGCCATTTCATCACCGGTAAAGTAAATAAATTCAAGCTATTCTATCTACTATACTACTACTACTACCACTACTACTACTACTACTACTACTACCACTACTACTACTTCTTCAAGAACAGAGGTAACTCTATAGGCATTGGAGAAAAAGGCAACTCAGTCTCAGGAAACCTATTGGTTCCTAACATCCCACTTGATTATGCTTTTCTTAAGTCTCTTTGAACCTAATTCATACCAATGGCATTTAGCAAATAGGTTAGCATGGTTTTAGGGAAGGCAAATGACTCCCAAGTTTCTAGATTAGGAATTTATCTGCTTTAACTTATTATGTGAACAAAACCACACCTTATTTTTAGTAAAAATGTTCTTCTTCTTAAAAGAGAATAAAATAATATCCCTGAAATCAGCTGGATGTTTCACATGAGTATCTTCTGAACGATACTGAAGAACCCGGGAAGTCTTGTTGATTAGCCAATAGGGACTAAAGACAGACAGCACCATCCGGCTGCCAATTCGCCTGACATGGACTGACAGGTCAACTGTCGTCACTTCTGTGGAGTCAGAAGAAAAACACACAGGAAAGAATTCTGGAAGTGTATCACGTATACGGAAATGTCCATTCCAGTTTTTGCCCTGGTATTTCATCAGGACTAATTCCATTATTTCACCACTGATTCTTGAATGCAGAACATCAGCAGTACTGCCTTCTGCCAGCTCATGAGTTTCTGCTGTTCCCTAAAAACAAACAAAAATTTGCTTAGTAACTTTTAAAAATCTCTGACATAACAAAATTCATATTTTTCACAAATGCTAAATAACCTACCAGATGCAGGTAAACTGCTAAGTCTTCTGTGAAGTACCAAGGTTACATTTTACAAATGTCCAGTACTCACTAAGGACTAAAAAGAAAATACTACACCATAGCCAAAGGCAGAAACTGATTTTGGCCATTAGGAGACTAACAGCCTAAATTTTTTGTGAAAAAATCAGGTCTGTATCAAGAGTCAAAGACTAAATTCAGGAAGCCTGGCTGTTGTCCATGAGAGCTGTCATTAAATGAGCCACTGAACTGCCTGGCCTTCAGTTTTATCCTCTAATTATAGACCATGCCTAATGGTTCCCATATGAATGGAATAAGAAAACTACTCTTATTTACTTGTCAGGTAAAAAATTACTCTGACAAGTTATCTAAGTAAGGTGGAATTACTTGAAAAATGAGTAATAACCTATAAACCAGGTTTCCTTACTAAAAACCCCTCTTATATAAACACTATTTAATTCTTACAAAATACTCTTATATAAATACTATTTAATTTGTTTTATTAATTTTGTCTCCACAACTCAGGAATGGCTCCTTGTCGGATTAAAAAACATGTAGGTTCCAAACACTTTCCAGATTTTAGTATTTTAAAATATACTGCCATATGGAAATTTTAAAATATTTATTATACAACATTACTAGAAAATCTTTATTACTTCTTAAGACAGACAGTAATTATTTTTTTATTTTCCAAGGTTTATTTTCAACAGAACCTTGAAGAAATAATCACAATGTTGACTTTAAAATAAAAACTTTAAGATGAAATATTTTCTCATTTTTTCCTCTATTTTAGTTAATGGAATTTTACTTAATTAATAAAGAGATGATCATGCTTCTTAATTTAAGGAAGATGCAGTAAAGAGGCAGGGATCAAAAAGCCAAACTGCCTAGGCTCAAATCCCAGCTCTACCACTTCCTAGCTACGGGACCTTGAGCGAGTCACTTAACCCATTTCAACTCAGTTCTCTTATATGAAAAATGGGCCTAACAACAGTACCTACATCAGGAGGTTATTATAAACAGTAAATAGGCTAGTACATGTAAAGTACCCAGAGCAGTTCCTAGCACATAGTAAATGTTATGCCAGTTTTTGCTATCGTTAGTATTATGAAGGCATTACACATTACACATACGCTATATAAAACACTGACCTCAATTAAAAATGCCATAAAACAAAATCAGAATTTACTCTGGGCAACAATAAAAATCAAACAAAATGCAAGAGACATACCTCAAGTAAATATCTTAGAGAATATGGGAGAAGATTCCGCAAAGTGAGAGAAGGATAAAGATGAATAATGTAAGCTACATCCCAGTCTTCCCCATGTGTACATATGTAGCTTAATTCATCAGGCAGAGCAACTGTATTCACTATGAGAGGTAAGAAGCTGACTTCTACTGATGGACACTGCAACATGCATCTGACTTCCCTGCTCCTATGAAGTTCTTCCTTCCAAGAAATGTAAGTGGTGGATTCCTTGTACTGATGCTCTAAGATTCCAGCTGGCTGGATAAACAACTGACATCTGCAGAAGGAGGAAACAGTAATAAAGTTTTGATTCAGAACTTAAAAAAAAGAATCTCATTAAATCTTCCTGACAACCCTACAAGATAGGTGCTATTATTCCTATTTTTACAGATGTATAGATGAGGAAACCAGGGCTCTAGGTTAGGAAATTCACCCAAAATCACATAGCTAACTTATGGAGGAACTTTCCTAAGAAAAAACAAAAAACAAACAAACAAACAAAAACTCTGTAAACAAAGACAACTTAAAAAACTTTTTCACTTCAAATACAAAGGCGATCTAATAAAAATACTCAGAAAATTTCTGATATCAAATATACAATAAAGAATTTTCACCTGATAAATTCAATGATAATATAAATGTGTATCTCAATGTAAGACTAAATTATGTCTTAAAACTGGCTTTTACCAATCTTTAGATAATAAAAATATGAAGTTATTTTCCAGAATATAAATCCCCAACTCAGTACATTTAAAGTTCAATACATTTCAAGAATTATCTACCTATATGAATCTAAAGGAACATGGAACTCCTCTTCAGGTCTGGCTATCCCAATGCGCTCCAATAGCTTAACATTCTTAACAAATTTATAGATGATAAATGCAATGGAGAAATGGTTTTTGATCTGTTGGACAAAAAAAAATACAAGTTTTTTTAAAGATATGTAAGTTCGAAAGAAAAATGAGAGCCACAAGCAAATACGTTTAGATCTAAAAAATTTCAAACTCAATATTGGAAGATATTTTTATTGGCAATTGAAAAATTTTAGGGTATTTAAGTGCTACATATATTAAACATAATGTTTATGTGGCAGTTGAAAACTAAGATATTCAAATGCTCCATATATTATAAGCTTATGTTTAGTATTGGTCTATATTATCTTTCAAATATGTATTATTCTCTGAAGATTTAAGCCATTTTTTCTCCAAGACAATCTTTTCTCAATGCATCATGTGAAAAACTAAACAAAAATGGATAGCAAAAAAATCATGAGAAAAATAGTACAATTATCTTTTCTTGACAACAGTCTGTTATGCATTGGAACAAATAACAAACTAAAAGATAACAATGTCCAAAATTTGAAACCTTTTCATTTTTATCTGATGTTACAGGTAGGAAAAAAACGTTCTTTTGTTGACCATATGCTGAAACCTGTAGTAATACACAGAAAAAGAAAAACTTTGGATAAAACCTTAAAAGTAGAAAAAATATTTACACAGATTAAGATGCTAAAATGTTTTTCAGAGGAATAGATCATTCCAATATGCCTTCACACATACTTGAAAAATATAATCCAAGTGACATACAAAGAGAATGGAATGTTTCCTAACTACAATTACAATAATCCTCGGTTCTGAATATTTAAAGGAATATACCAAAAAAGCTTTATTAATTTTAAATTTATCTTAACAGACAGACAACAAAAATGAGCTTTAAGTAAACAAAACTACAGACATTTAAAATAAATATTACCAAAGCAAGCTGGACAGTAAAAAGAAGCCATTTCCATTTACTATTTATTTCTGAATAATTACTATTTATTTCTGAATAATCAGTATTGACCTAACAAAGTTTTACTATATTCCTATATTCAGTTAAATAATTTAACATTTCTTGATACACTGAAAGGGATACAATTCACTTTGAAGTATTACCTGTAGAGGAGAGCGAAGAGTAATTACTTTATTCCCTTCAGTTGCATCAATCTGTACCAAGACAGAGTCAGAATGACTGGCATTGGGATTCCGTACATTATACAATCGCCGTCCAGGTCTGGCCACAGGGATATTTGCAACTTCTGTATATCCATGAGGTACTAAGGCAGTGCATAAGTGAAAAGAATTCCAAATATTAATTTGCCAATGTTTCTCTATGACAGAATAATCATTAGTACCTCAAAATAATGATGAGTATTTTTCTTCATCACTAGAAATGATCACCACAAATTGCTTTTCTAAGACTCATAAACTAAAAAAAGGAGACCAGTTACTGTTATAAAATTTTTGACCGAAAACAATTTTTCTTGGGGTTTTGAATATAAAAACAAAATCCAACTTATTTCTTATTCTCTCAATTATACAGCAACAATCTTTTTCTTTGTCACAGTGTCAATACTGTAAGACTTCTGAATACAGCTATTTTCTCTCCTCATTAAACTCCAATCTTTTTAAAAATACATTATATATATATAAAACATACATTATATATATGTTATTTAAGGGCATAAAAATAATCTAGCTTTGTAAAGTATTTCTTAATAAAGTTTAAATTTTCTCAAGTTTAGAAAACAAGAAACAAGAGGTTAGCAATTATACGTTTCAAATGTTGTATCTCCAGATATCTGCAGCAAAATGTTTTTTCACATTTTATTAAAAATAAGCCCACACCAACAACTGCTAAGATGCCCTTAAAAGAAAATAAATATAGCATACCAATGGTCAGAGTGAAGAAGGAGCTTTCTTGACGACTCAATATAGATAGGTTCCCTTGACTTGAAGGTACCATGCTGGCATATTCCAGTTCCAAATTCTGGCCAGCATCAACATCAAAAATATCACTTTTCTCTGGGAAGCCCATTACTCTGAGATTACAATTGGGCTTCACCTTAATGGGAACACCTACAGCATTTTTTACCGTAAAAGGAGCTCTGTCCTTTAAAGAGTAGTCAAAAGTAGAAGCAGTGCCCTCTGAAAAACCCTGAAAAGGAACATATCATCACAGTTAAATTTTTGAAAAGTATACATTATTTCCAAAATGTATACCATCATTACACATTTTTTGGAAGCTAATTTTGATGACAAAAAAATTACATGTTTCATTTTTAAAATTCCACTTGAAATATTCTAACCAAGATTCAGACATACTTTTGCTAAATTGTTGAAAATATTAAGACAACTTTTCGATATTGTTATATTCATTGTATTTCCTGAAGAAATATGAATTGCCATTTGTGGCTCAGGAATAAAATCATCTCCTGGCAGCAAACTTTTATCCTGAACTGGGTTCTTCTTTACCTACGAAGAAAAATAACAGACCAAATTTAAATTATTAGCCAGTTGATAATAAAATAAAAATGCTAGAGTTCAGTTCTCTTAAACTGATCACTTTATAGTAATGCTTCACAAAAGTCTTATTTTCAAAAATATACCATGCTTCACTTTGATTTCATGGAAATCAGCGTTCATTCTTTCAGGGTATAGTCCAAGCATGGGGAAAAGTTTAGAATTATGCCATGAAATTACTCAAAGCCAGCTACAATATTTGTCTCTTATGCATTCCTCAGAGCACAGCTATTTCTTCAGTGTCACCCAACTGGTGATTATGTGTTGATGAGCAATCTAAGAGGACCCTGAAGTCTAAATTGGTACCTATTAGAGGTGCCACCTGGAAATGTTTCTTTCTGTTTTTTAACCCAATAACACCTTCAAATAAGTAGTATTAATATAATAAACACTTAACTAGCCATCAGATTCCATCAGCTTTTGTTCTAGTAGCATTTCAAAAGCCTTGTAAAACATTCTTTGTTAGCCTCCCTATGCCAGAAAAAGGCAGGTCAGAAAAGTATTCTTTATTGAGAGGAAATTGGAACACAGGTTAAGTGACTTATCTTTAACAAAAGAATATGTGGAGTCAGTTTCAGTGCCCGACTCCTTAGTAAGGCTGCCCCAAAGAAGTATGCTATGACAATTTCTTAACAATATATGACTCTAGTTCCTTTTAATCAAGAAATAATGTGCTTCAGTATCTAGGTTTCTGAGGTGTTCTCAAAAAATAACATAAAAAGATAACACAAAAGAGTTCATTAACAATTCTCAAATATTCTGGTCTTACCCTTAAAAATCACTGATTACACTAAGAGTTTCATTTATGTTGTATCTAGCAATATGTACTCTACTAACAATTAAAACTGAAAAAAATTAAATATTCATTTAAAAATAAAAATTACATGCTAATATAAATAACATTTTTAATCAAAAATAACAATTTAAAAATACAGTGAGAAGAGGAACATACACAAATCTCTTTACTGCCTGCCTTAAGGGAAGACAGATAAATTCTCGTTTCTGTTCTGCATTCAATCTGTTGCAATATCACATTCATGTAGTCTCTGGAAAACTCCACTCTACACTCGTAAGAGAATGAGAATGAAAATGATACATGAAAAGAGTTCTGACCTCATGGACAGAGCCCTTAAAAGGGCTTCAAGGATCCTAGACCACATCTTAAGAATCACTGAACCAAAAACTAAGAATGAATATGCATAGTATCATTCTATCCAAAGATATTTTAAGATTTCCTTACATGAAGTCTTAAATTCCACTGTCTCTTCCCCTCCACTCTCTCAATCAGGGGCTCCCAGACAGCATGGATCTCATTGTAATAGTGCACCTGGAAAGACACACACAAAATTATAAGACAGTCTTTTGGCTTTAAATACATATTTCGGTAACTAATAGGAAAACTATTGAGTAATTAACATTATATATCATTAGCCATTTAAAAAACCCATCTAACAATATATAGAGTGTATTTGCCTTTACTCTCTTACTCTATTGTCATAAACAAATTATTTAGCAAATCAATCTTTAAAAAATAATTATCAAAAAAATACATTGACAAATTAAATGTCAGAATAAAATATCTATTCACATATGTACTCATGGTGGCCATGCACAAACAAGAAAAGTGTATACATCTTAATTCCAAAACTGCACTTTCAGGAAGTTGTCTCTGAAGGTATTAAGTGATGTGGCCATACCTGTAGTGTCACATCAGCAGTAGCAGCCATTAGAGAAGTCCAATTTTTAATATTTCCTGAAAACTTAGACTCTGCCAATAATAAAGGTACAGTTCGATGTCCAAGGCCACATTCTAAGGTAACTTGAATGGATTCTACAACAACACCACAATTTTCCTCTATCAATGAATGTTCAATGTCTTTGAAACTTTCTGTTACTTCTGTTGCCATGTCAACACCAAGAAACCAAGTGTTATAATCATTAATCGATTTGACACCCCAAAGATTTTCCATTTCCTTAGATGTATCTTTGGATTCATCTTCCTTTGTTTTTGGAGACAATGCAGCCATGATTGTCATCACAGTATTAAGAATTATGGGTGAAATCTTTAAAAAAGAAAACAGAAAAATATTTATAATAAATTCTTTCCCAGATGAGAATATATACATACATGATTTTAAGTGACATACTTTATAAGTGACATTTTTAAATTAAATTAAATTAATTTTAATTTTAAATTAAAGTAACTAATTTAAATTTTGAATAAATTCGTAACCAAGAAAAACAAGAGAGAACACAAAATTATGTGTCAAGCCAAGTAATCATGCAGCACTGACTTCTACTCAGGTTATCTGGAATTGAGTAACTAATATTATATGTCGGTAGTCAAAATCTAAAGTTAAACTGATCAGAGCAAAATAGTGTTATGTGAATAGACAAGTATAGAAACATAAACAAATTCATTTTAAAATCAGCTACATGAACTAAGCCAAAGTGTGTGACCCTTGTCAAGATATACATAAATATCGGTATGCAACAAGATCTTTAAAAAAAAAAAAGAAAAGGGAGAAAAAGATATAAATTTGCCTTACTAAAACTAGAAGACTGGAAATCACAGCTCTCCTCTGACTTACTCCAAGATCTGCAAATTTATTATTATCTTTGGATAGTGCCTTTCTTTGCTCACTTCCCTTACCTCCTATTACTGCACCTTAGTTCTACACTGATGATATCTTCTATGCCCAACACCTTCTCAGCCTACCCTCCACACTGCCACCAGCATAATTTTTCTACAACCCAAAGCTGAGTATGTAATTCTGTTTAAAATCTTCATCAACTTCCCATAACTTTTGTATCCCACAGGATAAAATTCAAACTTTCTTTAGCTTAATGTGCAAAGCTCTTTGTGGCCTAGTGCCTATTCAACCACCTAGCCAGAATTCTCCCAAAGTTTGCGAAATACTAAGTTAAGTAAGTTAACTGTATCCCTTTATTGTTCACTTCTCACAATCCTTACTTAAAATGTAAAGCGATAAATTATATAATTAAAAGCAAGATCTAGTATGTACTGCTTTTCTAACTTGTCAACTTTTTTCCTTGTCTTACTAATGTCATTTATAATTAATGCTTCCAGTCTTACAACTCCACCACACCATTCTCTCCAGCCATATGTGACCACCCCTCTAAATCTTAACGGATTTTCTCACACCTCTGCCTTTGTGCATATTATCAGTTCTGTCTGGATTAACCATTCCATACTCTCCATCTATTTAATCTCCCTTCAAAACTCACATCAAATAGTCCTGCTTCTACATAGCTTTGCCTGATGTCCTGGTCTGAATTAAAGGTCCCATACCTGTGCTCTCAACTAAATCTTGGCCATGCCTCTAGCACTGAAAGCTGTAATCTCTGATTTCTTTCTTTCTCCCACATATGTCATTAAGTTTTTTGACAGCAGGGGCTACATATCCCCAATGCCTTGTAAAGGACATTTTTTTTATAAACAGTAAAAGCTCAAAAATGTTTGTTGAATCAATCATAAATTTATGTACAAAGAATGGAAATTCTCACCAGCACCTAACTTAGTACCTTAAGAGAAAATACATGCAAATTCGAGTTTTCCCCTCATTTACTACTTTATATATTTTTAAAAGTAAATCCATTAACAATATATATTCTAAGACTATCCAGTATTTTAAAATGTTGAGAAAAAACTAAATTGATATTTACATGGTACTTCAAATGAAATGAGTTTGAGCCTCAGTTCAATCACTGTTGGTCACGGACCTATATAAGTAAAGCTACTACCATTACTGGCATTAACCAATTAACCAAAAATTAAGCAATTAACCAAAAAAGGACTCATTTTTGTATCCTTTGTGCAGAGAAATAGATTGCAGAAAGTATCCTATATCTTCTATTCATGACTGGGCATGAGCTCATACTTAAAGAACCTGAATACCATTGGAAAACATTTACTGTTTTTCGATACTTTAAATGCAGAGAAAAAAACAGTAAACTCTAATAATTATTTCTAGTGTACATCTGTCATTACAAATACTTGAAGCCAAATAATATAGTTATTAAATTCAATCAAATTACATATCAAATAAAAGCCTAAAAAGAACTTATTACAAATAAAGTTATAACAACCTCTTCTCTCCATCCTTTCTTCCCTTCTCTTCCCACCTGTCTCTTCCCTCCTCCAACTCAACCTCCCCAACACATGCATGCAAATATAATAGAGCAAAACTACCCCAATCATTTGTAGATATTAAAAAGTACAAACATTTGCATTAAAGAAAAATATACTTTCACGTTAGAAGTTACAGATTACTGAGTATGTGACTTGCATAATGCTTGAGTTATGAGAGACATCAAAAGATACTGTCTCAACTGCAAATATGCAATGTTGTGAAGAAAAAAAAGAATACGGTAAGTACTAACCTTAATTATAAATTCTTTAACCATAATATTTATATTTTGTTTTCCTGAAGCCCACATACATTTTTCCATAAATAAAGAACAGGGCTGCAAGACCTATAAACAGATAAACAAAATTCACATTTCCATAGATCCATTATATATGTAAAACACACTTACAAGAACCATGTCTTACTTAACTTGGGATCTTTACAGCCTGCTATTACACTAAAAGCAAAAAAGCAAAAATAAATTAGCCGAGACTCTGTTGTGAAGACTCTTCTGAACTATGAGAAATCTGTGAACATTGGTAAATCACTTTAAGCAGTTCTGATTAATTTATCATGCCAAATCCTCAAGTAATAAAGCACATTTACTGTTTAAAATGTTTCTTTCTGCTAAAATAGTTTTTAAATTATAGACTCTATAAAATATACCTTTGAAATAACTATAAAAGTGAGCTAAAGACTGTGGTAAGGTAGGTAAGTAAACAGTTTCCAGATGTTTGACAGGTCAGTCTGAAATATCATATAAGGCCTTTATTAGAATAAAAGTCAAATCTTCAAATTGTGAAGCTATATTCTTATATATCACTAAAGAAATGAATAAATAAGCTTGTACCTGAACTGACTGGAGCAATTAGTACTGCATAATTGCCAGTTTTTTAAAAAATAGGATAAGGCCAGGTATGGTAGTGCATACCTATAATCCCGGCACTTTGGGAGGCCAAGGTAGGAGGACTGCTTGAGGCCAGGAGTTCAAGACCACCCTGCGCAACACAGCAAGACGCCTTCTCTACAAAAAAGTAATTAAAAAAAAAAAAAACTAGCTGGCTAGTAGTCCTAGCTACTTAGGAGGCTGAGGCAGAGGGATTATTTGAGCCCAGTAGTTTGAGGTTGAAGTGAGGTAAGATGGCATTACTGCACTACAGGCTGGGTGACGGAGTGAGACCCTTGTCCCTAAAAGAGAAAGAATTAGGAAGAGCTAATTGATATAAGCTTTTGGTGACATGTAAAAAGATTATCCTGTCAAAGAATATTTCATGATAATATTATAGACTTCATACTTTCTTTATGCAAGTCACTTTGTCCACATATTTTTTAAATTTAAAATACCACTGCAAATAAGTCACATAATATAATGATTCTCTTACCATAAAATTATAAATACTACAAAATAATTGGTGTGGTAATTAACTGATTAAAATAATATTTTTCAATAATAATGTGAAAACATAATTGACATTCACTTTTAAAAACAGAACACCATCACTTTTGGCGAGATGACTCCAATTTAATTTTTTTCATTCTAGGCCTAAATATTCATTCATTCATTCATTAGCTATACTCCAGTAAACAAAAGAAACAGTTGAAAAAGAATATTAATTTGTACTAAAATTCAAACACTACTCAACAGAAGATGGTATAATGAAAATAAAACTATTCTGGAGGTAGTCCCCAGTTCTGTCACTAGCAGCCATGGCTGTCATTTAACATCTTTGGAATTCAATATCTTTATATGTAAAACCCCAAGTTCACAATAAATAATCTCTAAAGTCCCTGCAGAACTCTCATATTATAGGATTCTATGAATCAACCATTTCTGACATTCTTCAACCCAAGATTAGGACACAAGGTAATTCTTACTGTGGTAATGTTTTTCCCTCTCTTTTCTCTGAGAAAAGGGCAAGCGAGCACTTTCAGATCTCTCACAGAAGCTTCCATCATCTGTTCGAGTTTGGATGTTGACAGAGAAAGGTTACATTGAAACGACGCTGTGAGAGCAGGAGCATCAGCCTTTGTCAGGCTGGCAACAAATACCACTTCTGGATCTGTGATCATGGCCTTTAAGGTCATATTTGGTCTAACAGAGTCATCTGAAGAAACAAACGACAGGAACCAGAAAAGTTTAAGGTAAGTATTTTCATTTGACTACATGTTATCTACAAGTTGTTAACTTGTTCTCAATGTTTTTCTATAACAGATATGGTGAAACTGACAATATTAATTGGTTGATTAATACTAAGTATTAAATGATTATTAACAATTGCAGATTGAGCAAGATAAGGCAATCTGATCCCTGTCCCAAGAATATCATTACCACTCTGACCCAGGAAGAATAATCCTGTTTTGAAGTTTTTTTTTTTCAGAATTAAAGTATGTGCATGTACACAGGCATAAGTATATACTACCTTGCAGGGGAAGGGGAAAACTGGAAAGAAGAATATCAGGAAGAGGAAAAGAGACCCGATAAAAGAGATTATTATTACTTGTTTCTTTCAATTTCACCCAGAAGTCCATAGTCAATATCATATAATCTATACTATAAATATATTCAAAGCATATATAAATATAGAGATACCAGATATGATCACTATTTAAAAAATATTAAAGGTAAATTTTAAAAATAGCATTCTTACCAGGATATATTAGTTTTCCAATCTGGGTTATATATTAGAGAGAAAAATATCTGACCTTAGACAATTGTAATTTAACATAGAAAAGTCACTGATCTGGCAGGGGCAAGGTGTAATCCACAGCACTTTGGGAGGCAGAGGTGGGTGGATTGCTTGAACCTAGGAGTTTGAGACCAGCCTGGGTAATACGGCAAAGCCATGTCTACCAAAAAAAAAAAAAAAAAAAAAAAATACCAGGTGTGGTGGTGCACAACTGTGGACCCAAGCTACTCAGTAGGCTGAGGTGGGAGAATTGCTTGAACTCACATCAGGAGGCGAAAATTACAGTAAGCCAAGCTATATCACTGCCCTCTAGCCTAGGCGACAGAGTGAGAGCCTATGTCAAAAAAATTTAAAAAATATTTAAAAATTTTAAAAAAAGGAAAGAGGAGAGAAGAGGAGAGGAGAGAAAAGGAAAGGAAAGAAAAGGAAAGGAAAAGAAAGGGAAAGAAAAGAAAGAATCACTGATCTACTGGATAATGCTGGAATAAAAGAAGTATAGAGCTGAAAGTGGCTTCAGCATACACCAAGACCAGACACGCAAACTCTTCCAGAGTTTAAGGAGTTAAGCTGACATCCAGGGAAGTCCTGCTGGGTCCTCCAAAGTCCCCATGTTCTGCTTTAATGTTTCCAATTGTTCTTCAATGTGCTAGAATTCTCAACATGTTTTCTTTGAATAAGATTCCCCACCTATAAAACAGACCACTAACCACTGACCCAAATTAACCTCATTTCTGGATCAGTAAAGAAATGTTCATGGCACAGTTGGAACCAAAGTGGAGTTTCCTGGCCATTAGTCCAATTTCTACTGTACCTCTCTCTTAAAAATGTTTCCATTTTAAAACATTTCTTAAAATGTTTTTAAAAACTAAAAAGCTAAAGTTTATATACAGAATATGCTTAAACCTAAAAGACTAATTTTACATTCTTAAATTCTTCATTTCTCTTTTTTCTGGTTTGTAATTCTTGTCAAAATACACAAGTTGTCATCTATGACAGATAAATTCTGCCAACCTTTCTCTGTCTTGACCTTCCCTGTGGCAGTCTGTCTTGGTAAAATCTGTGTTTCTTTTGCCACATTTTCTGGACTCTGAGGCACAGCTTTGATAAAGAAATCTGCCACAGTCATCAGAAATTCCACACTGGCACATACATACAGCTTGTCAAGAATAGCATCAATTTGACTTCCATTTTTGTCTTGTTTGTAACTTAAATCAATCATAGAACTGTTGTTATCTTGGTCATTCTTTCTGTCAATCATTCTGAAAAAAAAATATGCTATTCATTATTTTATTCTTGCTAAAACAATAAAAAAGATGAAGAATTTCCTATATATCTCAATAATCTCTCTCTCACCTTTCAGTTTCTAATCTGTATAGAAAACAGGTCAACATTAAATAGAATCTTATTATCCATTAGTAAACAAGACTACTAATCTCCAAAGCAAGATATATGTTATTAAGCAATTACTGAATATTTTATACTTATATTATAATAGAATTATATATGTTATTGCATTATAATGCAATTCTTGAGTATTACATTATAATGCAATACTAGAGAAACAAGCCAATAATGGCCGGAAAGGAATTTGGGTAATTAACAAAACACATCAGTGTAGTCACACAAAATATAAGGCAGCCTTTTTATATTATTTTATGAAATAAAACCTCCCTGAAGGAATTTATCTTCAAAGATCATCCTATGAAAATTTGAGTCCGAAAGTATTCAATATAATTCAAATCATCAAGTGTTTATCAAGTGTGCTCGACTATAGTTCCCCCACGTCCTCCCATGAACTGGAAAAAGCAGGCTACCTAACAGATGATAGCATTTATCACCCTTGCCTGGAGAGCTGTGGACAGCTACTCCAGACACAAAATTTGCAAACTAGAAAAGCTGGGTGCATGACAGCACTCTTTCCTCATTTATTCATCTCTCAGAAAAACCAAAGGCTCACAAGTATCCCATATGTATGCAATGGAGTCCAAGTTTAAGTAGCAACATAGTTTTTCTCAAAAACAACAACAAAAAAAATCAGATACAAAATATTATGTCTCATTACTTGAGAAAAAAATAAAAACATAATTAGGCTATTGAAAATTACATATTTCCCACTTTATAAGTCACCCTTTCAAAAATGGCTTGATGATGTGAATGCACTAGAGATTCTATTTCTATTAAAACTTTGAAAGAAATTTTGCATAACTGTTTTAAAAAGACATGAACAAAATAAACACGATGAGGCAAAATCCATAGCTTGAAGCCTTTTTTAAAACAAAACTCTGCCTACTGGGAAGAATTTAGAAAAATATATCACCAAATATATCACCCCATGTGGATTTAACTATTAAAACTCATTTTCTCTTAGTTCCCATTCTAAAGATGTTACTCCATTTTATTATAAACTTCCCTTTAACTTAACCTTTAAAGCAGCTGAATCTGATATTAGCACTACTTCTTAATGCAATTCAAATCAGGAAGTATGATGGAAAAGACAGAGATCTTCCTTTGATGATCCCTAGCTTAGCAACACCTGGCAGCCATGCCAGGTGCAATGTCAACCTTAAATAATGTATAGCAAATTCAGAGCTGACAAACCTCGATGTTGCTCTCTCAATTCCTTCTCTGAGGTCATCAAGGGTGCATGTCTTAAGTTTAACGCTGACATTCATTGAGCCATCCTTAAACATCTTCCCCGAGGAGGCCATAAGATGTAGTCTGAGTTCACCAAGCTGGAAACTGTCATTATGAAATGTAACTCCGGACTCCTATGGTACATTTTTCAAGCAAAAGAATCAATTATCTTTAAATATTATATAATTACTTTTAAACATATTACTTAATTCAAAGCTTAAAGGCAAACTGATCTCATGAATTTTAAAAGTATGAGTGCTAAAACAGCTGAATGGAACAGAGAATAATATGCATGTTTGTGAGTATAACTGTACATACAAATAAATACATATATGTGTGAGTATTCAACAATGCTTAGTATAGAAAATTTTATCTGATTTATGGTTTAATGCAAATAAAAATAATTAGGAAAGAGTTCTGTCAATTAATCAAACTAATAAATTTTTTCTTTTTTTTTTTTGGAAATGGAGTTTCACTCTGTCGCCCAGGCTGGAGTGCAATGGCGCAGTCTCGGTTCACTGCATCCTCCACCTCCTGTGTTTAAGCAATTATCTGCCTCAGCCTCCTGACTAGCTGGGATTACAGGCGCACACCACCATGCCCAGCTAATTTTTTTTTTTGTATTTTTAGTAGGGATGGGGTTTCACCATCTTGGCCAAGTCGATCTTCAACTCCTGACCTCGTGATCCGCCCACTTCCACCTCTCAAAGTGCTGGGATTACAGGCGTGAGCCACCGCGCCTGGCCTCTAACTAATAAATATTTAATGAGCTCTTCTGTTAAAAAACAGTGATAAGATTTATGAGGTTTACGAGAAAGAGTAAGGCATGGTAGACGATGTGAGCGAGCATACACCCTAATTCCTTGAGAAAACAAAATAGAAATACACTAAAAGGAACATCACAATAAGATGCTATTAGTTGTAAATGATTAAATATTTTGTGACATACAGTATTTTATTCATTCATATTTATATCTTCTCACATTTCACAAAGGCCATTTAGTGGTTAGGTAAAGAGTATAAATAGTAAAAGCTCAGAGAGGTTGAAGAGATCACTGTGGCTGGAGAAAATTCATGAAGAAGGTGAGAACTCAATAGAGCCTCAGAGGCTGAGTGGGATCAGATAGGCTAAGAGGGTGGCAGAAGACACTCTACATGAAGGAAAAACATGAACAAACAATTCAAGATGCTCTGAGGACACAGGATACAGGATGATTGGGCTTGGATACTCCGATTAAAGAATGGTAGGGAAAAAACTAGAAAGAAATACAGAGGCCTAATCAAAGTCTCAAATCCTAAACTAAATATTTAAATTTTCATGTACAGAAAAACAGACCTCGATCTTTATTCTACCGTAACATATAATTCCAAATTCTCTCAGCATGCCCAGAATTAAAAAAAAAAAAAAAAAAAAAAAAAAACAAAAACAAAAAAACCCAACCAATCAACAAACAAAAACCTTCAGGGAAGTGATGAACATCCATCACCATTGCTTACTAGAGACCCTGGCATTGATAATAGGGGTGCTGGGTATGTGCAATCATCGGCACACTGGTTAGAACTTCACCCTTTCTCTCACTCAAGATAGTATGTTCATACGATTGGGTCAGAATGACATTATTACTGGTAAACTTTGAATGCCTTTAACTTATGAAAATGGAAATAATTCACAAACTTTTATTCTGTAACCATTAATAGAAATGACCTGAGACACATCTACTGATCACAACATACTACTGTTTCCTGATAGGATTATTGATATGGTTTCCTTTTGTAGACAATTTGGAGCCACTGAATTTCTTTCCATAAGATGAAATTCAGATTATATAACACAATGTTTATTAGTGGAAAGGGAAGATGGAAATGTCTACATGAGATTCATTTAGGAAACTGAACTTGTGCGAATATCTAGGATGGATGAAAGTAAAAAATCAAACAATAGTAAAATCAAACATTGCAGTACTACAAGTGTAAGAAGAGTTTTAAATAAAGCAGCAGTGAGAATTAATAGAAAAAAGTAAATGTTTATTCAAAGAAAAAACTGACAGTACTCAGCATCTCAGTGAATAAGGAAGGTATACAAGCAATGAAATAAAAGTAGACATCAAGATTCTAAGACTGCAGAACCAGCAGAATGATGGTACCAAGTAAAATGAAGAATGAATTTAACTGTTCATTTTCAGTAAGGTCATTTTCTGATGTTGTAATGAGCATTAAACATTAGAAAATAAGGTAGTTCATCACATAAATGACAGATACAAGCCCAAAATTCAATAGTAACAATGTATGAATATTGCATAATTTGTAGTAAATGAAATGAAATATGAATGAACATATTTCATATAAAAGGACATTAACAGATACAATACCCATAATCTGTATCTGTTGTTAATGTCCATTTGAGTATATTGTTCACTGCCCAATTAGAGTATACGCTCACTGTTGAATCTATAATCAATACAGAATATGGATATTAAAATATGTCATATGTATTATAGGTATTAATGTATGACATAATATAATTAAAAATATTTACTGGAAGGAAATATCTGCATAATAAAAAATAGCTTTCTAAAATACCACTGACATATTATTTAGTTCAAATCATCATGGCATAAGACCTTGGTTCTTCAATTCTTTAATTAGTATCCTTAACACATAATCTACAACATATAACATTTATTTAATAGAAACACAATGAATGCTTACATATCAAGGATCATTGTTAATTTAAAAATAATCAGGTAAGGCTCCAAAGTCACTACTAAATTATTCGTAAGTCATTATATATACATATATATATATAGCTATGTAATAAAACTGTACAAATAATCACTCATATATAAAATTCTTCTATTGTTAATAAATCAAAATGTGTTTTCGTGTTGATATTACTTGGAAAGAAATAAAACCCTGAGTACTTTGCCTTAGCCTTGTAAGATTATAAACACTAACAAAGTAAAGATAGAGGGCAGGACCAATGCATATTCTGTAGGCCAAACAGAATTTTATAGACATATTAAATGTTTCAATGAAAAGTCCCACAAAAAAAGGCCAACGCTCTAAAACTGACTATCAAGAGTTAAGGATTTATTTCTAATTACAGAAATGTATTACATACCTGGTTAATGTCATTGTTATAAAGGATAATGGAAAGAGATTCAAAGTGAAAGTCAAATTGGAGACTGACAGTCTGGTTCATAGAAAGCTTTGAGTCTGTCCAATCTTCTTGTTCTAATGGTGAAAATTTAAAATCTTTTAAGTAGGTACAGAATTTTATAAATATTTTTAAATATGAGATAATTTCTTAGTCTAAATTTATATGATGCTTTCTGGGATTCTGTAAATCATATTGAGACAATTAATAAAAATGGCAATTACATTCCAACTGTTAAATTTTAAAAATGGCAATGACTATTCCATATATATTTAGTATAAATGTACAAAGAGGCACAGGCAGACTATGTTAAAAATTTTTTTAAAGAGGGGGAATTAATTTTCAAGGCATTTACTGGCTACAAGCCATTTTCAAGACATTATGAAATTGGAGACACAGAACAGTCCAATACTTTGCCTTATATTAGACAACTAGTAACAGATTCTCTGCTAGCCTAATGCACCTCTCACTATCTCTAATTACCTATATTACCCAATCTGTTATCTTTATAAGAAGAACAGAATAAAACTCAATAGCAAAATCAAACAGAGTTCACATATGATGCAGGGGAAAGGAATGGGTGCTTTGGAATTTTGAGACAAATGAGACTTCAGGAAGTTAGTCTTTTCCCTCATCTTTAGATAGAGCATACAGATCTGAATAGATCTTGCTTTCAATCACTCTTATGGACAGATGCTATAATCTTTTTCAATATTGACTCTAATTTTTTGTCATTCTATAGAAGAGTCTGTTTTTAAAAGTTACTGGAAAAACAAATACTGCATAACTTTAACCATATAAGCCTTCTCCAAGTTAGAAAATTCTATTTTTCTTGGAAATAATTTATATTCTAATTTTCATCATCTTTGCAGCTTCCATTTGAATTCACAAATTTTCCCAAGTGACACGGTGTCCATATAGCAAGAACCAGATACATGATTGTGATCATGGCTGAACATAATGAGATCACTAATCATGTAAGGCTTGACTGTTAATAGTTTATTCATCTCTACATAGTTCCTGTTTAACTATAACAACAGCCTGTTTATCTAGCATTTGTCTGTATGGTGGCACAAACTTCACCTGGGGAGATGTTGACCCCATCAAGCTTATGCAATACTTAAAACTATCCACTTAAACCAGAAACCTTGCATACTGTTCTAGTCATTTGCTTGTCTGATTTCAAAACACACCTAGCCTAACTATAGGAGAAGCAGTGTTGATACGGTGTATCAACTGGTAGTTTTATCAATTACTGTCATTTGAAGTAACAGCTGACGGTATGAGAGCATTAGAAAAGCACAGCAACCAGGACCATTCATTATATGGGCAAGGGGTACTTCATCTCTTTCCAGCCATGAAAATATTAACCTATTTACAGTCTAATAAAACATAATATTCACATCAATGGCTTTAAATTATGAAAAAAGAGTGAAATTATATTTAATATAATCTGTTTAAGAAATCAAAAAGAAACCTTATATTTTAGAAAAATTATTTTAAAATGGCTGAATTCAAAAGTTTCACTGCTTTTAATAGGTTCAAAGTAATGATCTGAAAAATTATCTTATGTATTTGATACATAATGCTCCAGTAAGTCCAGATAAATAAAGCTGTTACAAGAATACCTTCCTTTCTCATGGTTCAATTACCTGAGTATGATACGTGATACCAAGGTCCTTTTCTCTCTTAATTATTTTGGGACCTTACCACACTGCCTATCTAGTTTGATTCTTCTCTCAAGATACGCCACCTCAGTGCGTAGTGAATTCAGCAAATTTAGCATTCACTAGTAAAGGGTAAACAAGCACATGCCAACAAGTGACCCTTTCCCCTGTAGCAGACAACATACAAACATCCCAGCCCCAGCCAAATTTCCACAGTAAGTAGTACAATACTGAATTAGTTCATACCACATTGTGCTGGACAACCAGAAAAATACTAAATATAAATATGACATTAACACTAATTTTTTCTCCATAAAGTAAATATCATCAATTTATACCTTTGAGATGGTCGGGTCCACTTGAAACATCAACTTTTCTCACTCTTACAGCTTCCTGCACAGACTGTGTAGGGCTTGGTTGTGAGGAAGCTTCTCCAAGATTTTCCAGCAAAATTTTCATTAAAACTGTCAAGTCATCTTCACTGAGAGCAACCTAGAAACCACCAATAATTTGTTAACTATAACTAATAAAAAATGCAGACTATCATATCTATATCTCAATTTGTGGTTTTTCAAATTAATTGTTCACCTACTTAAAAAAGAGAGTTAGAGTTAGGACTATAATTACCAGAAGAGAAGTATTTCACCTTGTTTACTGTGTGTACACACACTTCTGCCTTCACCCATATCCAGGCCCCTGCCTCTGGTACTCCAACACTCTCTATGGCTTATCTGTTACTATGTCTTCCTGTTCCTGAACCTGTGCCTATCTGTCCCCTTTACCTATCTTCCCATCTCCATTCTGTCTCTCTCTCACCTCACCCAGCACCAGTTTCTTCTTCTATATTATTTACTCCCCTCAAAACTCAATACAAGAATAGTGTTGTTCAGTTTCTAGTCTCTACCAAAAAGTAAAAAGATGCTCTCCTGCTACTTAGCTCTTAATCTCAGTACATATGCATCTGAACATATATAAAACATTTGTTTAACTTATCAAGAATAATACTACTTAGAACAAAAACAAATGTATCTACAAAGAATGTTTAAAGAACAAAAAATAGGCAGGTAGCATATTAACTCTTACCTTCATAAAAGGGTATGTGTGGCAAAAAGAAAAAGAGCCAGGGCTTTGAGTCAGGCAGATCTGTATCAACTCTACCACTTTCAAGCTGTCTTGTCTGCAAAGTTTCTTAATGTCCTTAACTCAAGTTTCTTAATCTCTAAAATAGGCATAATACCAACTTTATCACAGGTGGCTGTAGAACAAGATAAAGCAACTAAAACAAATGAAGCTGCTACTGGCTGCTAAAATTCATTAAACCAGTACTTTCTTTGAATCTTCTTATCCTTCTACTACCTTGTGTAAGACACAGTGGCTCAAAAGGCCTGTTTCAAGTACTTACAAATTCACACAATAGCAAATCTCCTCTGAATACCACAGTACCCTATTTCCCCCAAATGAGGTCCCTACCACCAGAGAAATTGCCTAGTTCCCAGTTTTAATGAAAATACAGAGCTATTTAAGTACAAGATAATGACCAGGGATTTATGGCTTGTCCTAAGCCCCAGGCCTCATATAACAGGTGTAATTTTAATGCCTTAGAATTTCCTTGTGTGTCCCATCCCACTTCTCATACCAACCAAGATTACCACAGCTTTCTGAAGGGCAACTAAGTTCACCCCTCTTTCACTTTGCTGAGGGAAAAAAAAACAAGTATGAAGGACAATTTTGAAAGGCAGCCCCACAGTTCTTTAAAAACCATCAAACTGATCCACCCAAAACAACTTGTTGGTATCACCTGCCTGATACCCTTTTCCTGAGCTGCATCCCAGACCAGGGAAACAACCTGCTGGTATCACCTGCCTGATAACCTTTCTTGGCTGCATCCCAGGCCCAGGAAAACTATAGACTATGACCAAAGAGTGGGTGTTTAGAGAGACCTGGATCGGTGACAAATTAGACAGTGGTGGCCTCATCCACTGTTGCTGCATTCCTGAGTTAATAAGGATCCTTTTGGTTAAAGTAATTATCATACTTTGATGCTAAAGTATCTGATGTTACTTTTTCTTGTTTCTTCTAAAACACTTTAAAAAGCATAAAGGAAAAGGACAGAGAATACTATAATCTTCCCCTGTGAATCTACCACCTGGTTTTGTCAAATCTTAACAAGTTGCAATATTTCCTTCAGATCTTGTTTCCCCATTACAGATATAGCGGAAGCCCCATATGTACTTCTCTGAGACCCTATTCCCTTCTCCTTTCGTCCTTAGAGAAAGACACTAGCCTAATTTAGAGATTATTTCCATGAATACTTAAAGTTATCACTACTGCATCTCTTATAAACAATATATAATAGGCAGATCACAAGGTCAGGAGGTCCAGACCATCCTGGCTAACACGGTGAAACCCCGTTTCTACTACACAAATACAAAAAATTAGCCAGGTGTGGTGATGGGCGCCTGTAGTCCCAGCTACTCGGGAGGCTGAGGCAGGAGAATGGCGTGAACCCAGGAGGTGGAGCTTGCAGAGAGCCAAGATTGCGCCACTGCACTCCAGCCTGGGCGACAGAGCGAGACTCCATCTCAAAAAAAAAAAAAAAAAAATGTATTAATAGTATTATATTGCCTGTTGAAAATCTGAAATTATATAAAACTGATAGAACTGTACTATCATTTTGCAACTCACTTTTTTTATTTTTATGCTCAAGATATATCAATTTTGTTTCATATAGTTCTATTTCATTCACTTTATCTGCTTTACAACATCCATTATATGAAGATACCACAATTTTACCAACAGACATTCCGATTTTACTTATGCTTTCAGCAAACCTATAACCACACAATCTTTGAAAGGGATTGTCAAATATTAGTCCTGGGATCTAATCTTTGAAAGAGAGAGCCAAATATTAGTCCCAAGATCTAATCTCTTAGCAGAAAGACAGAAATTAAAAGAAGGTACCCATACTCTGGAATAAAGCCTACCCTATGAATGCCCAAACAGACAGAATTCAATAATTGTTCTTCATGCAATATATCCACTAGTATATGAACAGAAACCCTTCATTTCTACAACAAGCTTCAATTTTAACTTCTTCCCTAGTAGAACTCTGCTCCTTTGATCCTTCCTATCTTATGTTAGAACCAACTCTGAAATAATCACAGGTATGAAAACCCATTAAACTGCTAAATTTTTGTTTGGTTTCGTTTAGTCTCTCTCATCCCTATCCCACCCTTGGCTGTTTGGTTTCAACAGTTTCACACATAGGCACACAAGAATCACAGGATTCCTATACTTCCACAGCTACCTTCAACCAGTCTCACCTCCTCCTCTGAGCTGATATGCAACTTGCTAACTACACTATTAAAAATAATGCTGTGGCCGAGCACGATGGCTCACGCCTGTAATCCCAGCACTTTGGGGGGCCGAGGAGGGTGGATCACCTAAGGTCAGGAGTTCGAGACCAGCCTGGCCAACCTGGTGAAACCCCATCTCTACTAAAAATACAAAAATTAGCCGAGTGGGTGGGCGGTGCCTGTAATCCCTGCTACTCAGGAGGCTGAGGCAGGAGAATCGCTTGAACCTGGGTGGGGAGGTTCAGTAAGCCTAGATCACGCCACTGCATACCAGCCTAGGCCACAGAGCGAGACTCCGTCTCAAAAAAAAAAAGTTGTATTTATATACTTATCAAATATACATATTTGCCTATTCAAAATGGTATCACCTTTCTAATTAAAACAGGGCCTCTACAAACTACACTATTAAAAATAATAGTGTATTTATATGCTTATCAAATATACACATTTGCCTATTCAAAATGATATCATCTTTCTAATTAAAACAGGCCCTCTACACATTAAAAACACTAAGTTGCTTTGAATGTAGTGTCTGAACATCACTTTGCATTGTCTTACAATTTAACTGCATTAAAACTTTAACAGAATTTTCCAAAATTAAGAATAATATTTTTAGCACACTCCAGCAGATTTTATCTCAGACTCCTTGCTGGTTTTACCAAATAGCTAACTAAAATGAAAACAAAGAAAAGTGAGGGAAACAAGGATGATTTCATTTGCATATTTTTTGTTTATTTATTTTTGTTGTTTTTGAATAGGAAACAAAATCTAGTTTATTCGATTTATTACTTAGGCAAAAGTAAACATACAACAGACAAATGCTCACTAAGAGAAAACTGGTTTAGCTTTATCAATAATGTAGCATCTTCTACATTCTGATATCCACTAGAACTGCACTATGATCTATCAAGAAATTTTCATATATTATATACTAGCTACTTACCTGCATAGGTTTTAGTTTTCCTTTTATCTCCATCCCTGGAATTTGCACATACCATGCTGCTGCTAAGTTTCGTTGTATGGACAAAAGCATGTTGACTGGTTTTAAAATTTCAGTGTCATTTTGTGGCAAGCTAGCCTGCAAAATAGTTCTGAAAGAAAAACAAGAGTTTACTTTTTACTTCACATTTACATTTTAAAATGAGGACTATCCTATTGTGTAACAGTTTCCACACTACATTTCATAAAGGCTAAAGGCTGCTATCAGAAGTCTTTTAGAATACACTTCTTTTCACATTTTTAAAATCAATCTAAATCAGAATAAAGTTTATATGCAGAGCTATCCAAAACCAAACCCATATAACACTGATTTCAAAGACATAATTTTCATACATTATTACTACTGCATTATTTATTATTTTTCACAAGCGCTGTTGATACAGCAAATAGTTTACTATCATGCAAACAAATGTTACATCCTCCTAAAACTGGAAGATAAAGAAAGTGATCTTATACTTAGCCCTTAATATGTTATTGGTACTTCTCTAGACTCAAGGGGAAAACTCAACTAATCTAAAAGTTAAACGAACATATGGTAATAGTCATTCTAGCTCCCCTGCCAAGAATCATTTGCATAATCAAATAAATGCCCTTGTCACTCAACAGAGCCAACACTGTCCCATCTGGATTCACTAATCCTTTAGATAACTCACTGAAAATTCCCAAATGTGACAAGGTTTGAAAATGAGAAATAAATCTTAAATTTTATATTTTACAAAGTTTTTTCCCATCAAAAAAAAAGGAAATAGCTATGTGCAAAGTGAGAAAAATAAAAAAATTAAATTAAGTACTGAGTAAACTATAATTTTATAATGGCTAATTTTTATAAAATGAAAAAAATCATATTATAAATGTAGTAAGGGAAAACACAGACTCTATGAGGTGCATACATGACTATTAACCACTGACCCAAGAAGCCAATGGTCAAGGTTTCATAGTAAGAAGAAATAAGGAATGAAAACCACAAATTACTACAATATTTTACCTCAGGCAAAAATTGTATGAAAATCCTATTTCTAGTAAGCAATACACAATTAGATTACATATTTATACCTTGACAGCTTCAACTGAGTGAGTTCGATGTTCATTTTATCAATGACTGGAGGAAGAGAATAATGTTCCATAGGAACCAAGCTAAACTTGTTTTCAATTCTGATTAAACCCAGATCTGCTATAACAGCATTAGGTGATACCGAAGACTGAGGAATAATAATAACTGGTGCTTTCAAATTGATATCCATCAAAAGGCGGAAACTCTTTTGAGCCAAGTCTTTCATGCTAGAAGCAGCTCTTTCTGCAGCCTGGACTGTGGCTGTGCTCAAAGCTTCTTTAGCAGTTTGGAAATTGTTGAGGAAGTTCTGTTGGAAGAGACAGATATTTAGGGAAAAAGGTATTTATTTTTAAATGAAAAAACTTCAAAAAGAGTAACAATAGTTACTCTAGGAAGAAAGAGCTCTTTCTCTCATTTGATTTATTTGAGAATTATTTCATTCTCATGACAAATTTTTGCAACAATTCTTTTAAAAATCTCCTGTTTATTAAGAATGTTTTTTACTTTAAATTCAAATTTAAATGAAAGGGAGGACAGTACTGTACTTCTCCAAAAGTGGGTTCAATTCTGTACTGCTAGGTCACAGCAATAAAGTTTAGTCTTAGAAACTAAGCTTCTGCTGGCTTATTTCTGGAGGTTTTCTTCTTTTTTTTTTTTTAATGTACTCATGCATGAGGAAAGACAGTTAATTGCCTACAATCCTGTAATCATTAGTAAGAGTCAAAATTTATTTATAATAAGATGTATTTCATCTCAATTTCAACTAAAAACAGAAAAATTTTTCCCAATAAGGATAAGATCATTCTTAGAAGCGATATTCTTGGTGTACATCCATTAATATTACAAAAGAGACCTAATCTCCCTGGCACCCACCTCCAAATTAATTACTCTCTAGAAAAGTAAACACGATGGTTTAACTAGAAATTCATGCTTTTAAGGAATCATGAGATTCTGCACATGGGAAACCCTATGGACTCCACTAAAAGGCTCCTGGAACTGACATACAACTTTGGTAAAGTTTCAGGATACAAAATCAATGTACAAAAATCAGTAGCATTTCTATATACCAGTAACATCCAAGCTGAGAGCCAAATGAAGAACACAATCCTATTTACAATAGCCATCAAAAAAACAAAGTACCTAGAAATACGTCTAACCAAGGAGGTGAAGGATCTCTACAAAGAGAACTAGAAAACACTGCTGAAAGAAATCACAGATGACACAGACAAATGGAAAAACATTCCATGCTCATGAATTGGAAGAATCAATATTGTTAAAATGGCTATACTTCTCAAAGCAATCTACAGAGTCAATGTTATTCCTATCAAACGACCAGTGTCATTTTTCACAGAACTAGAAAAAACTATTCTGAAATTCATATGGAACCAAAAAAGAACCCAAAAAACCAAAGCTATCCCAAGCAAAAAGAACAAAGCTGAGGCGTCACATTACCTGACTTTATACTATATTATAAAGCTACAGTAACCCAAACAGCGTGGTACTGGTACAAAAACAGACAAACAGACCAAGGGAACAGAATCGAGGACCCAGAAATACAGCTGTACACCGATAGCCACCTGTTCTTTGACAAAGTCAACAAAAATAGGCAATGGGGAAAGGATTCCCTATTCAGTAAATGGTGCTGAGATAGCTGGCTAGCCATATGCAAAAGAAGGAAACAACTTTTTATTCTATGGTGAAAGGACCCCTACCTTTCACCACTTCAAAAATTAACTCAAGATGGATTAAATACATAAGTGTAAGACCTCAAAATATAAGAATCTTACAAGAAAACCTAGGAAACACCATTCTAGACATCAGCTTTGGGAAAGAATTTATGACTAAGTCCTTAAAAGCAATTGCAACAAAAATAAAAATTGACAAGTGGGACCTAGTTAAAGAGCTTCTGCACTACAAAAGAAACTTTCAATGGAGCAAACAGACAACCTACAAAGTAGAAAAAATATTCGCAAATTATGCATCTGACAAAAGTCTAACATCCAGAATCTATAAAAAATAGTGTGAACAAGTGAACAAGCGAAAAACAAATTCCATTTAAAACTGGGCAAAAGACATGAACAGACACTTCTCAAAAGAAGACATACAAGGAGCCAACAAATACATGAAAAAATGTTCCACATCACTAATACTTATAAATGCAAATCAAAACCATAATGAGATACCATTTCACACCGGTCAGTATGGTTGTTATTAAAAACTCAATAAATAACAGATGCTAGGGAGACTGCAGAGAAAAGAGAACATTTACATAACCACTTGTGGAAATCTAAATTATTTCAGTCACTGTAGAAAGCAATTTAGAGATTTCTCAAGGAATTCAAAACAAAACTACCATTTGACCCAGCAATCCCATTACTGGGTATATATCCAAAAGAAAATAAATGATTCTACCAAAAAGACACATGCACTCACTTGTTCATCAGAGCACAATTCACAACAGCAAAGACGTGGAATCTACCTAGGTGCCCATCAACAATGGACTAGATAAAGGAAACATGGCATATATACACCATGGAATGCTACACAGCCATAAAAAAGAATGGAATCATGTCCTTTGCAGCAACATGAATGCAGCTGGAGGCCATTATCCTAAGCAAATTAATGCAGGAACAGAAAACCAAATACTACATACTTTTGCTTATAAGTGGGAGCTAACCACTGGGTATTTTATGGACATAACAATGGGAACAACAGACACTGGGCACTACTACAGAGAGGGAGGAAAGGAGAAAAAGTTTGAAAAACTATTCTCAGTACTTGGGTGATGAGATCAATCATACCTCCAAACCTCAGCATCATGCAATATACTCATGTAACAAGCCTGTCCATGTATGCCCTGAATCTAAAATAGTTGGATTATCAACTGAAATTAAATAGTTGAAATTATCAACTGAAATTAACAACTGAAGTCCAAAAAAGTTGAAATTACCTTTTTAAAAAAAAAAAATTATGATTTTAAAAAGTTCTGATTGGCAGCCCCACTAAGAAGAATAGGCAGATTTAAATCCTTCAGCCCATGTGATATGGTTTGGCTCTGTGTCCCCACCCAAATCCCATCTCGAATTGTAATCCCCAGGTGTCAAGGGAGGGAACTGGTAGGAGGTGACTGGATCACGGGGCTGGTTTCCCCCAATGCTGTTCTCGTGATAGTGAGTTCTCATGAGATCTGATGGTTTTATAAGAGGCTCTTCACCCTAAGCTTGTTCTTGTCTACTGCCATGTAAGACGTGCCTGCTTCCCCTTCCACCATGACTGTTAAGTTTCCTGAGGCCTACGCAGCTATGCGGAACGATGAGTGTACTAAACCTCTTTTCTTTATAAATTACCCAGTCTCAGGCAGTTCTTTATAGCAGTGTGAAAATGGACTAATACACCATGACAGGTACATGGAAATAAATAATAAAAAGAAAAGCATTTCATGACGCTGTTGATCACAATCATAACCAAAAGCTGTAAGTTCCAATATGAGTCCTCCATATGCCTGAAGAATTTCCTCAAAAAATTGTTTTAACTAAGTAATCTTAAATATATTTCATTAAACAAGTTACAGTGGAAAGCCCTAAATTAAAACATAAAATGTACATTTAAAATGTATACCTATAGAAATGTTATAGAATTATAGTCTATATCTTCAAAACAATAATTTTAAAAATTCATTTGGTTAACATCATGAAAAGGATTTCCTTAACTATAACATTCTGTTCAGCACTCAGGTGCTCATCGCACAGCCCTATCAGTGAAGATTTTTACTATCTAGGTTCAGTTGTATAAGCAAAGATATTTAGGCCTCAGTGAGAAATAAATATGTTTTAAAAAACTTACCAAAAGAGACATGAAGAATTTATGAACATAAACAATCTGAATACAACCCACTTTGAAACTAAGTTTGCCATCTACTTTGGACATATCAGCATAGGCCTTTCCTTCTGTGGCATCTGGATAAAGAGTCAGTTGGAACCTAAAGACTTCATCTCCCAAAATAGAGACGGCCTAAAAATATTAGATTAACTTGTTATTATATTAAAGGAGCTGTATAGCCCTTATCAATGTATTATAAATAAGTTCTCTTATTAGAGAATCTTTGATATATGAAGTAGTAACATATGAATTCAATCTTAAAAATTATTAGCTGCAAACATTTTACATGACAATAACTTCTTGTATTTCTTTAAAAAAATTTTATCAGTAAAAATATCAATCACTTAACTGTTCAGAAATAAGTTTTACAAATCACTGGGTAGCAAGAGGCCTAGTCTATATACAATGTGAAAGCAGACTATTACCATTTTCATCTCCAATTCCTAATAAAGTGCCTGGTACATGACAGACAATAAATGTATACTGTGCAAATAAATAATTGCATCTCAAATCCAAAGAACAAAAGAAATTCCAATATAAGAATCTATTTTTTAATCACCTTTTTGTGAATGGACTGCAAATCTACATTCGTAACTATAATATCTTTAAGTCTGGCAAACACATCGGTCTGCTTAGGCTTCACAGAAATAGAGGCATCCATTCCTATAGGAAACATAACATTTATAAACTTTTCACCCAATCCACATGACTAAGTCAGCGGTATTTAAGGTCAGTAATATACTGACAAGATACAAAGTGAATAAAAATTACTCATTATTAAACATATTAATGGCATCAACTTTCATGTATGAGATACCTAAGAAAGGTAATAATACCTTTAAATAATAACTTTAAGGGATACAGGCATCTCCTCCAAAAAAGTTGAGGAAATTCTAAAAACAAAAAAAAAAAAACCAAAAAACAACCCACCAAGTTTCAAAGAAATTTAGATTAATTTAGAAAATTAATCAAATTTCTCCAAACTTAAATATCCTCTGCATTGGCAAGATCAGCAGTGGTCATTTAGTAAGATAATATTTGTTAAAACAGTGATCTTACAAACATTTACTGTATTATTAAAAACTGGGCTGGGAGCGGTGGCTCACATTTGTAATCCTAGCACTTGGGGAGGCTGAGGCAGGCAGATCATGAGGTCAGGAGATCGAGAGCATCCTGGCTAACACGGTGAAACCCCGTCTCTACTAAAAATACAAAACATTAGCTGGATGTGGTGGCAGGTGCCTGTAGTCCCAGCTACTTAGGAGGCTGAGGCAGGAGAATGGCGTGAACTCAGGAGGTGGAGCTTGCAGTGGGCCAAGATCATGCCACTGCACTGCAGCCTGGGCAACAGTGCAAGACTCCACCTCAAAAAAAAAAAAAAAAAAAAAAACACAACTGTTACTCCAATAACTAAAAATAAATGAACAGTATTTGATGAATACTCTTATTTCTATAATAAACTGTATTAGAAAACAGTCTTCTAAGATTTTCCTCCAAAAAAAAATTTCTTTGTCATTCTCAGTTTCTAAAGGCATAATGATTTCTACAATTGCATAAAAATGTAGATAACGCAAAATGCATAAGGAATATCTCAAGTCAGCAATGAATCATAATAAATTTACTTGTAACATTTTAAAGCACATCTCTGAAAAGTTTGCAAAGTCTTCAATATAAGTAAACCAAAAGAATACTCATGAGAAATCTGCCAGGTAGGTACAAGCTCATTTTTCCTAGTTATGTAAAGAAACAGAAATATCTACAACAAGAAATAACTACTTACCATGTATTTTAATCTCTGCAATGTTACACTTCTGATCACAGACAAGGACATTAAATGCATTTAATTCAGCTGTGACCTTTAAATCAAACACATCCTTTTGGGAAATGTTGCTGGATACTAAAAAATAATAGAAACCTTCTGATTAGCAAAAGGCAAAGATAATACAACACATACAATAACTTCAAATCCACCAAAATAAAAGTACCCAATGCACTATGAGGAACCAAAACGCCCTCCATTAGGATAACATGTAATTAACATAAATTTTGGATCAATTATCAAATTCCATCATACAAAAATCAGCACATTCCCCTTCAAATTAAGAATAAAGGCAACTAAATATTAATAGCACTTTGAAAGTACAATTTACTAGATGGAAACTTTAACTTTTTTTTCTGGGAATAAAGAAAACATTCTATATTAGACTTCTAGAATTCTCTTGGTCTAAAGTTTTGATTCTGAACTCCTTTCCATATCATATATTAGATTAAGGAAGAATAATTCATGATAAACTGCAATAGTGATGCACAGTTAATAAAATACATATTATTTACTATGGCACTTATGTGTTATTAACTACAGAATAAATTTCTCCAGATTATACCCTGTTGCTCCATCAAGAATCCTAAAATAAATTCTATGAGAAATGAACATAAAGGGCCAAACTTAAAAAATACAAAAAAAATTTTATAATGTATGTGCATGCAGGTGTATGTGTGAATAAGAATCACAATCAAACTAGCTCCCTAAATCCACTTTAGTCCAGATCCTGACTGATAAATTTAGGATACATTTTCCTAAAAATCTGTCTCTCTTGAAGGAAATAGAGCCTTCTGATTGAAATTGCAAAAGCTTGGAGATTATCTGTCCTTAATCACCAGTACGAGAGGGGTTTTTTTTAATATTTAATGTAGCATAATGATGTTTTCTTTAATATTTGATGTAGCATAATCAAACCACAAAGACCAACAATATAGCAAAACTGGAAGACTTTATTTGGGTTAATAGTGTTTCTAGTTTATTGTGAGTTCAAACATTTCTTTTTCATTTATTCAACTGTGTTGTGTATGTTTTGTATGTATATATAATATAAAGTAGAGGAATTTCCAAGGATATTTCTGAGGCTATTAATGTGACAAGTACATTAAAGGCAAAGACGGTAAAGCTCTTTTACTCTAGTTTATAAGGAAATTGTTGCTCTGTTCCATGGTTTAAAAAAATCAGATCCGGCCAGGCGTGGTGGCTCACACCTGTAACTCCAGCACTTTGGGAGGCCAAGGCAGGTGAAGCGCCTGAGGTCAGGAGTTCATGACCAGTCTGACCAACATGGTGAAACCCTATCTCTACTAAAAATACAAAAAATCAGCCAGGTATGGTGGCGGGTAACTGTAATCCCAGCTACTTGGGAGACTGAGGCAAGAGAATCGCTTGAACCTGGGAAGCAGAGGTTGCAGTGAGCCGAGATCACATCATTGCACCCAGCCTGAGCAACAGAAGTGAAACTCCGTCTCAAAAAAAAAAAAAAAAAATCAGATCCTTGTATCTGATCTAACAGTACTGACAGTTTTACAACAAACATGCCAGTAATATAGGTAAAACTCAAACTTGTAATGGTCTGAAAGTTGTAATGTCTGGATGTTACATACTGGTCTGGATGTTAAATACTGACATTATATAACATGAAAGAAAAATAATTAAAATATTTGGCTTAAAAATAAGCAAATGTTATTTATTCACTCAGGATATGTCATACATAATATTTCATAACATAAGTCGTATGCCTGAGGACCCAGTGCCCATATCTGTATGATCTAAATATAGTTTTGGTTAGAAACCAATGTGAGTGTGTCTATTCCAGGAGCTCCTTCCCTGCAGTGTCCCACCGAGCACTTAAAATTGCTGAGCACCAGGTAGTCTACCTGACTAACTGAAATGGGCCTTTGTTACCTTGTATGACCGAATCCATAACTGAACTTCTTCCTTTCTCATTTTCATTGATCTGAAGACTACAAAGACACATCAACATAAAGTACATGCAATTTCTATTTTATGTAAAAGCTAGACAGTGAATTGAAATATAAATACATAATATTAAACAACATCTATTTAAAATTCCTCACTAAACTGCTCTATAATCCCATACAGATAACATTTTCTTTCTCTTGAAACTAACCTAATCTATCAGAGCAGCAATGTCAACATGCGAAATACTTATCTTAATTGGAAAAAACAAGTTGTTATATGATTATTGAAGTTCAAAGTATTAGATCATGATTCAAAAATTATTACCAGATTTGACAGCAATACTTCTGGACTCCTCCACAAGTGGTTTCAGCTCGGATTCCTTCTCAGAAGAGGAAGGTTCAGAGAATGGAGCAGCAGATGATAAAAAATCCATGAAGGAAAGTAAAGCTTCTAAATGAAGTACTAAGTCTAAGGATGAAAATGAAACCTAAGATAATGAACAATTAGAAAGGCAGATTTCAGATGCAGTAACATTTTTACATCAGGGTTCAACAGATATAAGTAGCACAAGGGCCTTTTTAAAATTTTTATTTTTTTAAGAACTCATTATTAACTCACTATTAAAATGTTAATCCTCACCAGATAGTAAATCTCTGCTCACTCCCAAGTGCAACCACAATTTTAACTCAAAAGAACTGGAAGAGTTTTCAGTAAAGATACAGGAAATATCATTAGGCTTTAAACCACATTTCAGGCAGTTCCAAGCTGACTATGCATGTTCAAACAGACTGTGAGCAATGTCTGTACCAGGCTATGCTTTATGCTTCCCTTAATCTTATTCTATTCCTAACGCCAATACATAATTCAAATGTTTAATGCTTCCATCAACGCTAGGCCAAAAAAGCACAGTCGACTAAAATCAGTAACAAAATTCCCTTGAAGTGTATTATTCACATACTTGTCAAGAAATCTAAGTCAAAACTGGGAAACAATCTTTTCAGAAAATAAATCAACTCTTTGTAAGAACTTTATTCCAATTCTATTATCTACTTCACTTTATCCATAAATTAGGAGTATTATTATTGCCACTGTTATTCTAATTTTAGAACTTACAATCTCACAGTTGAAAATGGCTATGAAGATAGATTTAATCAACACAACCCAGCCTTATAGTAAATTATAGAAGATTTACCTTCAGCGTCTGTTTGGTACTGTCATGAATAGTTTTAAATTCTGGTCCATCACTGTCTGCCTACAAATAGTGGAGAATTATACCACTGAGTTTCAAATACTAAAAATTCATACACTGAAAATATACATATTCTTTACTTTTCTAAGTATGCTATTAAAAGAGTAAAAAGATATTTCTTAAAGGCAAAGAAGGCCATTCAAAAAAAAAAAAAAAAAGAAACCAAACTGACCACATAAGCATTTCTTACATTCCATACAAGCAAAAACTCTAATTCCTTATCCTACTGTGGAGGAAATGCTAGTACATCTAGATTAGGTAAACTAATCCAAAAAGTAGGAAAAAGTGCTAGATTATAACACACTTTGCTTTGGATTACAGTGGAACTTTACATTATTACCATTTATTCAATATCACAGGGTAATGAAAGTATCCAGGATTTTCAGATGCTTGCAAAATTCACCACATCAATCAATTTAGATAGAAAAATGTTGAGAGAGAAAATTGGAATATTAAATACAAGCGTAATATATATAACTTTATATATTTAAATATTAAAGAATCCTAGTAATAAAACTAGGTACCTTTGTCAGTAACATTTTCAGAAGGGGTTTGTCAGTCACATTAGAAGAGTTAATAATGTGAAGAGGTTCTCCTTTAGAATCTAAAAGAGAAAAAAGACAAGGTTGATCCATCAAGTTAACCATTTCACACGTTTTAAGACAGGACCAGCCAAATGTACACAAATGTACATTTGTCAAAACTCAGGACTGTACACTAAAAAGAGTGAAGTACATTGTGTATCAATCTTACCTCAATAAACCTGGCTTTGAAAAAAAAGAAACAAATTCCATAAAACAAAAATACTAGTACTCACCAATTACAACTGGTATAACATACGGTACTACTGTATTACTATCATCTAAACAAATCATGGTATATTAAAGAACCTATAAAATACATAAAGTAGGGATTATTCTCAATACAAGTTTACTTTACTTAAAGATATCCCATAGAGTTCTTATAAACTTTAAACACTAACAGAACTTTAAAAGTTAGCTTATTGCAGGAACTTAAGGTCAAGGATACCCACTAATGATAGTATTTATTCTGAAGGAAGGACAAGAGACTACAGATGATATTAATTTTTTCATCTATATACTTCTGTATTTGATTTTCATTTTTCACAAATACATATTAACATAATTAAAAAGAAATGTTAAAACTCACATAATTTGAAAATCAGATAATACATCGTATTTCCTAGTAAATTAACCCAACTCTTCAAAATGGGTCCCCTAGAACTGTACCCAGCGACTGTTTTTGAAAAGTTGAGTTAATGTACTAGGAAATTAACACAATTGTACACAAACCAATATGTTTAATGTTGATAAAAAGGTAGGGATCACGTGCCTAATGAATAATTTACACAGACTATATTTCACACTTACCAGTGAAATCAAAGCACTGCATACTAATTTTTTTTAGATAAGCTTTAGCAGTCATGTCATAGGTTTTAACTCTAGCTTCCATTCCAAGTTGCAGGACATTTAGCTCATGTAAAGGCCTTCCCTTCTTTTCTGATTTTTTCATCAAAGTAACCACAACCTAAAAGAGGGTACCAGTATTACCACCAACTATTTCATTAATACACAATGAAGGTAAATCAAGAATTTAATAAGTATCCAGAGTGATATAAGCAAGAAATTCACACAATGTTAAGATGTTTACTTCTATTTGTGCCTGCAGTTTGGCCTAATTCCCAGAAGTCCTAGTCTGATAGCCTTTCATCTGAAAGTCTGTGAGACCAACAGCCAATTTTTACATCATTTCTAAGGCAAGCTTTCTCAGCTTCGGCACTATTAACATTTTGAGCTGGTAATTCTTTCTAGTGGGAACTGTCTTATGTGCTGTAGGATATGAGGCAGCACCCCTGGCCTCTACCTATCAATTGTCATTAGTATTCTCCCCTCAGATAATGGCAACAGAAAATGGTTTCAAACAATGCCAAATATCCATGCGGAGCAATGCAAACTGTTCCCCTTCAACCCAATCACTGTTCTAAGGGAAGAGAACAGCCATAATATATATCATAAATAATATTTAAAAGGTCTTATGGGTTTTATATGTGTGTGTGTGTGTGTTAAGTATATCTGCAAATAGAATGATTCATCTATCGATGTTTCAACTACCAAGGCTTAAAAACCTTCAGTAACTCTGATATTAACCAGAAAAACATCCAAGTTTAACATAAAGAAATTGGCTTCAAAGCATGTATTTCAGATTCTTAAAAGTAAAGCCTATTCCTTTAAAAGTTTGTTTGTTTATTGACTGGCTGCTAGAGACAGGGTCTTGCTCTGTCACCCAGGCTGGAGTGCAGTAGCACAATCAGAGCTCACTGCAGTCTTGACCTCCTCGGCTCAAGTGATCCTCCTGCCTCCCAAGTAGCCAGGACTAAAGGCACATGCTACCACAACTGACTAATTAAAAAAGAAATTTTTTTTTGCAGAGATAGGGTCTCATTATGTTGCCCAGGCTGGTCTCAAATACCTGAACTCAAGTGATCCTCCAGTCTTGGCCTCCCAAAGTGCTGAGATTATAGGCATAAGCCATTGCAAACAGCCTATTTAAAAGTTTATTATTTTTAGCTCAGAGAAAAAACATAACCTCTATATAACTAATGATAAAACAGATTTTAGAGGAAGTCCTTGCAAGTCCCTGTATCCACTATACTTTCTCACATACTCACACTTTTATGCCTGTTCCTCTTTCCACCTTGCCCCAGACCCTTTCCTGATCCCTTTTCTCAGATAATTTCCTATTTCTCTTTAAAAACTTGATTCAAATGTGTCCTCCTCCAGAAAATCTTTTCTGACCCTCTCAGTCTGCTTAAATGCCTACTCCCTACCATCAGCACCCCAAGCTCCAATAGTATCCTCAGCAGATATTTCGTGAAATAATTACAAAAATTTTAATAGTTTTCCTGCATGAGTCAGACTGTAAGCCTTTTACCTCTATCCTTATCACTGGGCACATACAATAAATATTTGTTGGATGTGTGAATAAAGAAGAAAATGTATTTCATCTTTCCTCAAGAATATGCAGATGGCAAACATATTACTAATGTAACTTTTTTTAAAATGCAGGCATATTGTGTTTTATTCTATCAAGAGTTTCTAACATTTGAAAAGAATTTATCTGACACTATTGCCCTTTCCTGCCTTTCTTACATGACATCCAAAGCAAGTGACATTCCTACTGTCCTAAAAGCATTAAAAAGCATGTTAAAGAACATGCTGTCATTTTCTCTATGAAATATTATAACTCCCAAATCTTTCCCAAATATATAACTCCCAAATCTTTCCCAAATATTATAACTCCCAAATCTAACTCACAAACTTTCAATTTTTAAAACATCACTGCTACATGTGAACAGCCCACATAGATTTTTTTCATCAGTATCAATTATCTACAAGTTTAGTAGAGGTAATTCCAATATCCATTACTTATTTGGATATCCATTATCCAATAATGGATATATCCAATATCCATTATATCCAATAATATCCAATATCCATTACCGCACTTTACAAAAACAGATGAAAATTACACACCTCTTTAATTTCAAAATTCAGCAGCATATTAATGATGTCTACAGATCTAATTTCTTCCACTCCAGTTGTTAAAGTATTTTTTGAATCATACATATCTTGTTGTGATATAGAGATTTCAAGGGGCTCTTTAGTTTCACCTGAAATGTTTAAAAGAAATTCATTCACTTTTATTCACAAATTTCTTCCACAAGTACTTATTGTGGACTTATATGAGTATTCTGGACCTGGTAGAGGCAATGAAACTCCACAAATTAGTAACAGCCCTAGCCCTTGGAAAACTGCGGGTTTAGTGGAAGAGACAGATACATTTAAAATACAAACAAAGATACATTTAAAATACAAACAAACAAGTAGGCCACACCCAGTCACATTAAATGAACAAATGTTAATAGACTCTATATAAAATGCACTGAAAGCACAGAACAAAGCGTGACATTGTTATACAGAAGTCAAGAAAGGTTCCATTAGAGGAGGTATCATTCAAGTAGAGCAAAGGACATCCTCACACGATGGAGACATTACCAGAAAGGAGCAAAACCAGGGAATGGTAACACATGATAGGTTTTGCAAACAGAATGGAGTTTGATATGGTTAAATCATAAGGGGGGCAACAAGAAGTAAGACTAGAAAAGAAAAAAGGGAGTGGGAGGTCAGGGCCTCTTATGCCATACTAACAAACAAGAGTAAAGCTATATAATTATGATGCTGTGTTTCTGAAATTCGCACACCCTGAAATGCAATAAAATTGCTTTTTAAGCTGTAATATAAAAAATAATAACAGCTATCACTTGCTAAGTGCTCATCTGTGTGGCAGACACTGTTCTAAGGTCTGTATATAGACTGTTCTATTTAATTCTTATGACATCGTTTTGAGGTAAGAACTTTATTGTCTTTATTTCAGAAATGGGCAAATTGAGGTTCAGACATTTGTGCTCAGTGTCGCACAAATGGCAGAGCCCAAATTCATCAGTCTGATTTTACAGTCTTCACTCTCCACTGTCCCTCAGTATCATTAAATTAGTTATTACTATTATTGCAGTTGACATTATCTTGACCACTAATACAACACACAGGAACCAAGTAGTGTAAGCTATACCAGAATTCCATACTGAAAGCCACTATTGTTAATCATTACCTTTGACAAAGCATTGCATAGGGCAAGGTTTCCTAACTATCATCTTACTCCAGCACTGTTCCAAACATAATGTGAACCAGGGGAAATGATTCCAGCAAATATTTTTGCTTTTACAAAACAATTTCCTGAATAGGCGAAGATTTTGCAAATGGAAAATAAAAAATACTGATCATTTAAAAAACCAGTAAATTTAAGTTGATTGAAATTAACAAACCCTATTCATTAAAAGACCCATTAAAAGAGTGAAAGGCCACCAGTCAGAATATCTATTGAAAAGTCAAAAAATAACAGATGTTGGCCAGGTTGTAGAAAAAAGGGAATACTTATACACTGTAGGCAGAAATGTACACTAGTTTAGCCACTATAAAAAGCAGTTTGGAGATTTCTCAGAGAATTTAAAACAGAATTACCTTTGACCCAGCACTCCCATTACAGGGTACGTACCCAAAGAAAAATACATCATTCTACCAAAAAGACCACATGCCCTCACCTATTCATCACTGCACTATTCACAATAGCAAAGACATGGAATCAACCTAGATGCCCACTGACGGTGGGCTGAATAATGAAAATGTGGTACATATACACCATGGCATGCTATGTAGCCACAGAAAATAATGAAATCATGTTCTTTTCAGCAACATGGATGGAGCTGGAGGCCATCATCCTAAGTGAATTAACCCAGCAACAGAAAACCAAATACCACATGTTCTCACTTGTAAGTGCGAGCTAAACATTACGTACACATGGACATAAAGATGGGAATCCAACAGACACTAGGGACTACTAGAGGGGGTAGGGTGGGACGGGGAAGGTTGAAAAACTACCTATCAGGTACTATGCTCACTACCTGGGTAATGGGATCATTTTAGATGAAATCTCAGTGACACGCAATTTACCCATGTAACAAACCTTGCTGGACATGTACCCCCTGAACCTAAAATAAAAGTTGGGAAAAAAAGAGAGTGAAAGGCAAACCACAGATAGGGAAAAGATATTTCTATACATATATGCATATAACACACATAACCAACAAAGGGCTCATATTCAGAATTTAAAAACTACATATCAATAAGAAAAAAGGCAAACATCTCAATAAAAATAGTTGTCAATAGGATAGATGGTTACATCACAAAAAAGGATATCCAAATGGCCAACAACCATATGAAAAGGTGATCACCTTCACTAGTAATCAAAAAGCAAATAAAAACCATAGTGAGATACCACTGAATATCTATCAGAATGCTAAATTTAAAAAGATTGGCAATGCCAAGTACTAGGGAGAATGTGAAACAACTGGAACTCTCATACATTGCTGCTAGGAAAGTAAACTAGTACAACCAGTTGGAAAACTTCTTGGTATAATCTGGCACAAGTTACTGAAGCTAAATGTAAATCTCACACATGACACAGTAATTCTACTCCTACCTATATATCCAAAAAAACGTTTATATAATTATGTCAAAGACACACAATAAAATTCATAGCAATTTCATTCATGATAGCTAAACACTGGAAACAACCAGAATGTCCATGAAAGACAGAATGAATAAAATAAATTTTGATACATTCATATAACTGAATAGTGCACAGAAATAAAAAGAACAAACTACTCCTACGCACAACATGGATGAATCTCACAAACAAAATGCGGAATAAAAGAAGCCAAACATCGAAGAGTAAATTCTGTATGATTCCATTTATATGAAATTTATTTATATATGAAATTCAAGAAGAGGCAAAACTAATCTATCTATTACAAGTTAAAATGGTAGTTACCTCTGGGTGGATTTGCAGGCAGAGTGTTTGGCACTGACTGAGAAAGGGCAAGAGGGAGGCCTTCTGGGGTGCTGAAAATGTACTATATCTTGATCATGTGTATCCATATATGCAAAAATTCACTGAATTATACACTGAATATTTGTATACTTCACTGTATGTATTAAAATATAGTAAAATAGTTTTTTAATAATGAAAAATACAATGGGATACCAGTTTTCACTTAGCACATGGACAAAAAATTTTTAATCTGGTAATATACTGTGTTAGAAAGGTATAGAAAAACAACCTGGTGGGAATGCAAGGTTAGTAAAGTTCTATGGAGGCCAATCAGCAAGATCTGTGAAAATCTTAAATTAGTCTACAGAAATTATTTGCTGACCTAATTGTCAGTTAAATTTATATTAAATTAATAATTTTACATATCTTTTAACTGGTGTTATCCTATATATATATATATATATACTTGTAAAAGTATATGTATGAGGATATTCAATGCAACATGGTAATAATGAAAGTTTAAAAACAACCAAAAATGACTATCACTAGGAACCTGCTAAATAAATTACGATGTTTCAACAGAATTTAGTATCAGGCAGTCATTACAAAGAATGAAGCAGATCTATACATATGGAATAGACACCAAGACACACTGTTAATATTTTTAAAAAAAAAGCAAAGTGAGCAAACACACACATGCATGCACACATACAGGATGCTACCATTTGTTTAAAAAAACTAAAGATTATATATTTACGTGTTTATACATACATTTTATATATATATATACACACACACACACACATATATATTACCTTAAAAAATAAGGCTGTTACTTTTCCTTTAGTCAAAAGGGCCATGGTAAGTAATAATTTAAATTCTCTTTTCATTTTTACTGCTGTATAATCTTTTCAGTATCTTTGGAAAGTGATAATTTATCAACCATTTCAATTCTTGCAGATATTTTACTACCAAGCCTTATTGAAAAATCAGATACACTATGCTACCATAGCCTACTGCCAACTCAAAATGCTTTCTTCTATACATGCAATTTCAATGATTACTTCAAGAATCTACCACTGCTTTGAAGTCCTTCTTTATGGCCTCCTCTCAATTCACACAACTTAGAAAAAAGTCTGAAACTATAACTGACAACTTAGCTTAAGAGAGTCAATCATCTCCAACTATGATTTCATTCAATAGCATCTTGTTTGTTCTCTTGATAATATAAACTGCAATTCGTAAACATATATTTGTTTACTTTTTATTTCCTGATTGCCTACTAAACCATAAGTAAATAGACACATACGTATTATGCCACTTACTGTCAGCCTCTAACCTGTCTCTTGTACTCTTGGTTTCACTTTATCCAAGTCTTCAGTACCCTCACCAAGATTTTCTGCTAGTATCCTAAATAAAAGATTAAGATCTTCTTGATTTAGACTAACCTGTAAAATATTATGATAAAAAAATATATTACATTTTAAAATGAAACAATTTTCATACAGAAAATAAATTTCCAGTTGCAACACGAGGGACAGAATAATCCTAATACTGAAAAGTTACGTACAATCACAACCCACTCAAGTACTGCACTACTTATTTCATGTTAAAATTTTTATATTCAAAGACAATAAGATGTTTATAGAAAACCAATGTAATTCATCAGTCAATATTAGCTCCAATGACTTGCCTGATGTTTACTGAAAGTTAAATATGATCAAAGAAATGTGATCTTTTTTTAAAACTGACAACTTCAGAAAATGCATAATTCTACTTTTTAAACAATAACAATTCCAATGAAATAAAAAGGTTAAAAAAAATTTCCCTCAATGCTATAATTAATTATCTTAGGTGTACTTAGATATCCCTAAAAATAAAAATGTACATATATAATATATGAGACAGTATAATATGCTAATGCATAATTTATATACAGATCCCTACCAACAGGTAGGTATAGCAAATTTTAAAGTTAAGAAATCTTAACTAAAGATTAAATTCTACTGAAAATAATAATGATCTTGTTAGACAAACTCTCACTGAAATTTTTCTTATACTAGTCAGCAAAAAAAGTCTTCATTTCATTTGGATTTCTACTTTAAAAGTCTTTGGAGTTTAAAACTTCAACAATGAAGTTTTTTTTGTCACTCATATACTTACATTCATTGAATCAAGATGCCCTTTAATTTCCACAACAGGCATCTTGTGGTACCAAGATGCAGCTAGATTCCGATTTACAAGAAATTCCAAGTTAATTGGGTGCAACAGCTGAATATCAGGATGGTAGGTGCCTGGCTGGATCACCGTCCTACGAAAAATAGAAATGTTACATATGCATAGATATAGGGTAGAAATGTAACTTTGGGAGGCCGAGACAGGCGGATCACGAGGTCAGGAGATCGAGACCATCCTGGCTAACACGGTGAAACCCCGTCTCTACTAAAAAATAAAAAAATAAAAAAATTTAAAAAAAGCAAAGTCAAGCAGTTATTTGCTGCTCTAAATACTGATTTGAAACAGTGTGGCTTAAGTATTTTCAAAACTGAATCTATAATTAATCTATAACCCACTAGAAGGGATAAATTAAAAGGTGATATACAATGAACCATTAAGAAAACTTTTTTCTTTAAATAGTAGATAGGTGAAAAACTGCATAAATTTTTAAGAGCAATCCACACTGTCGAAGAAATATAGAAAATCATCATATACAGTTGTTCAAGGATTAATAGGTATGTTGGTGCAGAGACTGAAGAAAACAATGGCAAAGTGAACAAGTGAAGTTAGCATTTTCTAAGGCATTTCATAAAGATTTTCTCTAGGATTATTTTCTAGACTTGCCTTATAGTCATTAATTTTTTATTCTACATAATTAAATCTTCATGGATGGGGTAGAAAATAATTTTAAAATGAATTATGTACAGATTTCATGTGCCACCTGGTATGAGCACTGAAGATACAAAATAATTTACACAACATGCCTGCCAAAAATGTGTAAATTCAATCAAACCATGAGGAATCACTCAGACAAAACCAAATTGAGAGGTGAGTGGAACCAGACTCTAGTCTTCAAACTACAGTAGTAGTCATGTAGTCATAAAAAGACAAAGAAAAGCTAAAGAACTACTCCAAAAGAAATTTTTGTCAGTACAGAAATCTTCCTCAGTAGTACAGAATACAATTACATGCTATGGGTGATCCTGAATCAGGGGGAAATTTTTACAATGGACATTCCTATAAAGGAAATTATTATAATGGGACAACTGATAAAATCTGAATATTGACTGAATTTCAGATTATAGTATTATATCAATACTAAATTTCTAGAATTATATCATGGTTAATGTAAGAGAATGAATGTCCTTGTTTATAGGAGACACATGATAAAGTATTTAGGGACAAAAAGTTAAAGATGTCTATTCTCAAATGATTTAGCAAAAAATGTTTTAAATAATATGTATATGTTTATAGATAGGTTAAAGCAAATACAAACAATTGGTGAATCTAGATGAAGGATATGTAGGTGCATTCACAGTACTATTTTTTTCCATTTTTCTGTAGGTCTGAAATTTTTGAAAACAAAAGTTGATTAAAAAACTGTTCTGGTGGCCTGACGCGGTGGGTCATGCCTGTAATCTCAGTACTTCGGAAGGCCAAGGTGGGCAGAACACCTGAGGTCAGGAGTTCAAGACTAGCCTAGCCAACATGGTGAAACCCCGTCTCTATAATGAAAAATGAAAAAAATTAGCCAGGCATGATGGCACGTGCCTATATCCCCAGCTGCTCAGAAGGCTGAGGCAGGAGAATCGCTTGAATCTGGGAGGCAGAAGTTGCAGTGAGCCAAGATGGCACCATTGTACTCCAGCCTGGGCAACAGAGCAAGACTTCATCTCAAAAAACAAAATAAAAAACTCTTCTGGGCCAGGGGTGGTGGCTCACGCCTGTAATCCTAGCTCTTTGGGGGGCCAAAGCAGGTGGATCACCTGAGGTGAGGAGTTCAAGACCAGCCTGGCCAACATGGTGTAACCCCACTTCTCTTAAAAATACAAAAAAATTAGCCAGGCATGGTAGCGCACGCCTATAGTCCCAGCTACTCGGGAGGCTGAGGCAGGAGGATTGCTTGAACCCAGGAGACAGAGGTTGCAGTGAGCAAGATTGCGTCACTGCACTCCATCCTGGGTGACAGAACAAGACTCCAACTCAAAACATATACGCACACATACACACACACACACACACGCAACGACAACAACCAAAAAACCTCTTCTGTGTAACGGAACAGTTTATTTGAATAAACTGTGTTGGGTAGGAATTTCAAATCATAAAATTTCATGGAAATCATGAATATAATATTTAAATCCATAATTATTGAAAGAGCATACCTATAAAGTGTAAGCTTTGTTAACTGCACATCCATTCTATCAATTACTGGAGGATTTAAGTAGTCTTCATCAGACACCAGACTGAACTGATTTTGAACTCTGATTAACCCAAGATCTACCACTACTGCATTGGTGGAAATGGAAGACTGTGGGATGACTATAACTGGTGCTTTTAAATCAATATTGATGGAAACACGAAAACTCCTCTGTGCAAGATCTTTCACACTTGTGGCAGCCTTTTCTGCAGCCTGGGCAGTGGCAGCACTCAGAGACTCTTTGGCTGTCTGGAAATTACTCAGGAAGTTCTGTGGACACAAAGCATAAAAAGAGAAATTCAAAGAGAATACAAGCACATCAATAATAACACCTTCTTCTTTTCATACATGTGGTAACTTTTTTTTCCCAATATTTCACTTTCCGTTGAGCTCTATTTTTCTGGTAGTAGTAAGAAATTACTGATAATCCATCTATAGCTATGAGCTGCCTGAACTGAGCTAATGTTATATGGTTAAGGAACAGAGAAAGAAATTTTTTCCAATAATTTTTTTACTAAAGAATTTGGCTTCATTATATTGTAGCAAAAATAATTTGTTCTAGACAAAAATCATTAAATATTCAGATTTCAACTGTTAAATGGGGGTTTTGATCTCTACATTCATGCATAAATACCATCTATAATTAAAATAATGCCCACTCTAAAATCCAAGGTTTGTAACATTTGTCATCATAATTATCACACTTTTAAAAGTATTTCAAAATTGAAAAATCAATATATAAGTAACTATTTTACCAGAAGTGACATAAGGAATTTATGAAGATAGACGATCTGAATACAGCCAACATTCAGAGACAGCACACCATCCACTTTGGACATGTCAGTATACAAATCTCCCTCAGTAGCATTTGGATACAAATCCAAATTAAAACGGAAAACTTCATTTCCCATTATTGACACAGCCTGAAAAACAGAGACTTGAATATACTCTATCTGGGAAGGTAATGACAAAATAAAACCTCATTTACAAAAGGGTTTTTATATTTTAATCTTTATAAAAACATTTTTCTATTGAAGTATATTTCATTAATGTTTTTAAAATAAAATACATTTTACAATAGAATCTCATATTCAGTCATTAAAGAATATTAACTATCTGTTTACAATCACCTACTTTCTTATGAACTGTCTTCGGATCAACATCTGTGACAATAATATTTTCTAGTCGGGCAAAAAGTGACTGTTTTCTTGACTGGAGAGAAAGGGAGGAATCCAGGCCTGAAAAAGAAAGTGCATTATCATAATTTCTACAGAACTACCATAAATAAGATCTTTCTTTCCATTACATTATTTTATTTTGGGGTGACTTTTTTAAATTTAGCAATGTTTCAACTCCCAATGGATAAATAAGTTGCAATATTAGAGATTTTTGGTTATATAAACACCAAAACCTATAAATGTGTTAAACAATAATTATCTGAATTTTCAATCAGGGGAAGAAACACATCTAGCACAAATAGATTATCTCAGAATTTAAGTAAATTATCCTTTATACCTCACATCCAGTCATTTACATGGAAACTATAAAAGTTACACAAATCAAATTCAGACTAGTAGATGCACTGCCATTTTGGGAAGGACAAAGGAAAAAAGCCCCTAGTTTTCTAGTTTTTAGGTTCTTAAAAAATTTCATTAAACATATTCAATATATTCTTTACCAGGTCACAACCAGCTAGTAAAAGTAAGCCAGAGGAAAAGCTAGATGAGTTCTGGAAGCTTTTACCTAAAAGAACATAATGGCCTCACAGATATTGTCATTCATTATAAGATTGCTTTTCATAAGGAAAGATAAATAAAGACAAATACGTAACTATATTATGTATAAAAATCATATATTTTAAAAAAAGATTAAAAAGTTACTACAAAGCATGTCCATAGACCTTCACCTAAAATCTAGACTGAGACTTCTCCTAGCCCATCAACACCATCCCTACATTGACATCAGTATCCCTTTTCTACTTCCTAGATAACTCTCAGGAAGGTCCCAAACACCAGGATATGTGTGAGTTCAATTGGGATGGTCAGATTCTGACCAATATCTATATCCCAAAGAGAAGAAAGCATACAATCCAATTATGTCTTTTCAGCTTTCACAGCTCAGAGCTCTTTATTTGTACATTCTTTAGCACTGCAAAGAAAAAACAAGAAGGAAAAGTTTATTTTTTCGCCAATTTTTAATACCGTGTGAACTTTTACCTTGAATCTTGATTTCAGCGATATTGTTCTTTTCGTTGCAAACAACGACACAGAAAGCATTCAACTGCGCAAACAGCCTGAAGCCAATAATGTCACTATCTTTGGAGGATACAATCACTAAAAACAAAACAAAGCATCTGTCACACAGTGAGATTTTAATCATTTACATTCTATTAAGCTTTAATCGCTATATTAAGTGAACCACTGCTATGTTAAAAAAAAAATTATAACATTCTCCAACTCTTAACGATTCAAATACTTTTTCTGCTTTATATATTCTGTAAAGTTTGCTTTTTTAATAGTGAGATATTAGTTTTATAATTTAAAAGCAAGAAAAAAAACTAAAATAAATAAATAAGGACACTGAACCTCAGAAAAGTTAAATAATGTGCCTAAGGTTACATGGTTGAAGTAGCAAAATCAGGATCTGAACTGAGTTCTTTCAGATCCAAAATCTGGGCTCTTGGCCAATTAGATGCTACTCCTGAACCCTTCCCTACCTTTGTGTCTCTGAGCCTTAATTTCCTTATGTGTAAAATGGAAAGACTCACTCCTTATAAAGCCCCTTCAGCAGCCACTGAGAGGGAACAGCTCAGTATAAATACAGGTCGTCTCCCCCTATTACCTACCTAAAGGCTTCCTATACCACCACCAAAATAAGAACAAAAACAAACATTTTTAAAAACAACAGTATTGATTACATATGCCTTATATATCAGGTGCTTGCATATAATTTAATTTGAAGAAAAGGGGAAAATTGTATTTAACTGACTGAGTCAGATAACCTCTAGTATTCCTCATTTGGCTTTAGAATTCTAAAACCCTTGCTAACAAAAAACAAAAATGTATGGTTCATACCTTTTGGCAGAGTTGAATTTTTTTGTTGTTTTTCAGTTGAAATTTGTACCTCCTTGGCAACATTTATGCTTTGATCATCAGAAGGAATAATGGTTGTGAGGTAATTAATAGAAGAGACAAGAGCTTGTGTTTGCAGCAACAGATTTAAAGATGAAAAGGCCACCTAAAAATGTTTTAAAGAGAAAATTAGTTTCCCACAGTCAATTATAACCTGTAGTCTCCAAGATAGATCCAAAAGATTCTCAGGTGGGCTTATATCATTGCTTCCCACCACTTAGAAGGAAGAGTAAAGAGAGGAAGATTCACAATCTCCTTAAACAGGGAATATATGGAGACAAATTACACTTACACACTTCAGAGGTACATCAGAATATTACAGCAACCTAATTACTCCATTTCCCAAGCATAATGGTTATGAAATCTATACTCCGCTTCTCATGACTATCCTGATATTCAACATATAGATGGCATCTTGGATCTTCAATGGACAATTATGATTATATAAAATTATAAGTAAAAAGGCAAAATCCCAGAACCACCATGTGCTACTACTATGTCTAGAAATGATTTCAAAGGTTGCATCTGTGAGATTTAAATATAAAAAGGACAATTATGAATGGGTTACTAAGTGATCTTTTCAAATCACAATAATGGTCTCATCATTTAAAAAGAAACACAATATATAACGTGTAGGGAAAAAGTACTGCTTTTTTTTTTTAAAACAAACACTCTAGAAAGCTAAGATAGCAATACAAATTGATTTCAAGAATGGGTAGTTTTCATTAATATAAAATAAAAAGCTCTGTTTATAAAAATGAATTTCTTTTCATTTTCTCATAACACTAAATGGATATAAAAATAATAAAAGGTTCACAATATTAAAACAGATTCCCCCACCTCTCAAAAAAGTGTGAGCTAAAACTCAACTCTCTCCTTTTCTTTTTAGTTACTCATAGGTACATTTTGCTCCTCTTACTCTAAGTTACTACGTAAGTAGTATGGATTCAAAACTGCTCAACATCTCTCCTTATATTTTATACACTTTTTCACCTGTACATCAAACAATGCTATCTAGTTTGGCTAGTTTAGAAACCTTTTAGTTCTTTGTACATCAAAGTTCTTTTGTCTATAGCATTCCCTAATTCAGAAATAATACGGAAACTTTTAAGGACGTTAGGATGTGATATAATAAAACAACAGCTTTACTAAGCTGAATCATAAACACAGAGCATGGTAAGTATCGATGAGGTTATTTATAACTCTTACTGGTCCTTTATGTCATCAAATTACCCAGTCAATACTCCTCAAATGATATTAGAGGTTTCGAGAGTAGGTTATTTTCAAACAGGATAAATTCCTTTAACAGAATTTCTTACCTTAACTGTTTGTTCAGTTTTTCCAAAAGTAGTTTGAAAACTAGGTCCATTCTTATCAGCCTGAAAAAAGAAGTAAAAGTTCTAAAGAAGGTACTAGGATCAAAGTAAATAAATCACTTATTTATGATCTCTGGTTAATTCATTTATAGTTATAAATGTATTTTACATACATTGTATATTTAATTTTATTGCCATTATTTTAAAGTTACACCCAAATAATGTATTTATTATAATAGCGCAAATGTGTTCTTCTCTTCAAACATGGGAGAATATTCACTTCTGGGAAACTGCAGCTAGGAATCAGAATGACAAACTCTGAAGGTTGTAAGGTGTAAAGGTCACGTAGCCCATCTATCACCTAATGCTTAAATCCCTCCATAAAGTCTTTAGCAAGTCTATTTTTTTTTTATATCTCCAGTAAAAGAAACCTTGTTTCTTTACAAATCTAATCTTTAGAAAGCTTTTATTTAATAAGGTCTTCACACTGAGTCAAAAATCTATCTCTCATCATAACTAACCATTGGTCCGCATAGTTCTTTCTATCCTTTGGAAACACAAACAAATTCAAACTCAAAGATTTACCTCCTGTGAGAAGTTTTCTGGCCTTGCCAATTCCCTGTCTCTCTGTTCCAATAATGCTTTGTGCTTTTCTTTATTAGAGAATCAATCACATTTTATTCTAATTATTATTTACGTGTGTTATCTCCCTACTCATGTACAATTTTCTTGAGAACAGGCAATGTTTTTCATTTCTGTATCCCAAGCACCTAACAGTACAGACATCCAAAAACACATCCAGAGGTATTCAATAAATAGCTGCTGACCAATTAAACAAATCAACTAATCTTGAAGTCAGCTAAATACCATCAGTTCCTTCAGTGTTTCTCATATGAAATATTTTTGTGGCCCTTCCTATTCCTGGCATTTCTCTTCTGAACCCAATTTAATATGACTTTATCCTTTTGATGCAGCATACTCAGCCAAATGTCACCTATATATGACCTATAATCAGTATAGGTATGTAGGTGTGCCCTAGAGGACAAATGGTACCTACTTCATCCCAGGCTTCCACCTCTGGCAACAAGAAGTTTAGTGACTTTGTATAATGGCCCTGTACTTAAGTGAAAGAAAAGAAGGTGTACAAATGAAAAAAAAACCAGATTTCCCTATAATTAGAAACTGTGATACACATCCAGAGCCATTAGTAACTTATTGTCACATTTTTCCGTCCAGAGATGTCGTTTGGAGTACACAATAAATATATAATCATTCTATAGCCCGTACCTTAATATACTCCACTTTCAAAAGATCTAATCCAGGTTTGTCAGAAGAGCTAATCAAGTGAAGGGGCTTCTTTTTGGATCCTAAAGAAAAATGGGAAAAAAAAGTGTTTCAAATAAATTGCTCTTTTGTAATCTGAAACTTTTTTTAGATTTTTTAAAATTTGTTAATTAAGCTTTAAAAGAAAATCTTTGCATGTTGTCATAGTTATTAAATACAAAGGCCATCACTGTTGAAGAAATTAACCAATCCAGATTGTTACCTCTGACATCCAACTTACTTAAAAACATGCATATTTATTTTCACCTGATTTCACAGGTGACTTCTAAAATTCTGACAAATAATTTATTTTACTTCTATTAAAGAAATTTAAATAATTTCCTTTTGTTTAAACTGTGAGAGGTGGCTTAAAAGAGGAAAGCTTTGTTTTTGTTTTTTTTCCTTAAAAGAGAACTGTTAAACTCCTTTTTAACTTAAAAACAACAGGTACTACCAGATGTTCTTTATATCCTTCAGTAGATGTACCAAGGAACTGCCTCCAAAAGCTATGGAGGGAGAAGTAATTTGTCCACCATTTTATCTATCTTTTGTTATTTGCAGTTCTTTAACTCTTGCTTCTGAGAGATCTCAAAATTTTCCCTTGACTTCCAAGGGCATAACCTTCACTTAAGGAAAAAATAGCTTACAAAATTTATTATTTATATTTTTTTTCCTCAAGACAATAATGTAAACTTTATCTTAACACAGGTCCTATAGAAATTACTAACACATAAAATATTTTCCTTCTAAATTGAGATTTGTTTTAGTTTCAACTATTAAAAAGTTATAAAACATAGGTATTTATACAGTCAGTTTTCTGTATCCAAGGATTCCAACCCAAAGTATAAATATTATTACTTGTAAAGTGCTTAGAAGAGTACAGCCATTATTTATTATAAATACAATATAAATGAAAGTGTTTCAGATACTCCAAAGTGCTACCTTTATTATAGGTTATTATTTCTATTTTTATGGCTATTACCTTCAATTTCATGGTAATCCAAGCTGATTTTCTTTAAATAAGATACCGCAGTTAAGTCAAATGTTCTCACTGTAGCCTCTGTTCCTAACTGAGTAACATTAAATACTAGAATTGTATCTTCTTCTTTCTGCTGTTTAGTAAATTCCAAAATCACCTAAAAGAATTAGAGCCAATGAAAAGTTGATAAGAAGTCTGAATCATACTTAAAATAATGAAAACAAAATCTTTCTCCATACACATCACCAAAAGAACAGTAATTTTGCTCATATGCTTCTGCCCCTTAGCTATTTAATATAATTGGAAATTACCAACTTAAATTCGATTCTTGAGAATATAAGTACATTTATTTAAAAATCATGACGGAATTTAACTTATTTTTTCTAATTTAGTAAAATAGGAATGTATAGATTCTTCCTTAGTATGATTTTCTTAAACCTGTATTTCAAAGCAAAAATCATGTTTAGTAATTTTTTTAAAAGCATCCCCATTAAAGTAGGAAGAAAGATGTTCACTATCATACTACTATTTAACTCTGGAAATGACAGCCTGTATATTTAGCTAATAAAAAATAAAACACTGTAATTTTTAAAAGATGGAAGTACTTTTGATACTCTAATGAAAAGGTATAGATCTTTGTCTCCACCCTTTGAATATGGGCAGGTTTGTGAATGCTTAAATCAACAGAGTAGAAAGGAATTGATACTATAAGGACTTCTGGTGTCAAAAAAGACCATGAAACTCCCACCTGGGAACACTCATACTGGGGGAAGCCAGCCACCATGTAAAAAGTTCAACTACTCAGACTACCATGGCTTTTACCATGCTGAGAGGCCATAAGTAGGTGTTTCAGTCAACAGTTACAGCTGAGCTCCCAGCCAACCGCCAGTATCAACTGCAAGCCTCATAAGTGAGCCGCATGGACATCCAGTTTGAGGCTTCCGATGACAGAAGCCCCAGTCAACATCAGAATGCAACCAAATGAAAGACTACACACAAAATTACCCAGTTGAACCCTTCCAAAATTCCTAACCCACAAACCTGTAAGCAAAATAAAACAGTTGTTTTAAGCTATTTAACTTGATAGGCCGCAATAATAACCAGAATAACATAAATACTGAAGAAAGGCAAAAAATAGTATTATTAGCAGATGTTATAATTACATACTTAGATAACACTTTAAAAGTACTTAAAGAAAAGGCCAAGTGCAGTGGCTCACGCCTGTAATCCCAGCACTTGGGGAGGCCAAGGCAAGCAGATGACCTGAGCCTGAGAGTTCAAGACCAGCCTGGGCAACATAGTGAAACCACATCTCCATAAAAAATACAAAGCATTAGCTGGGTGTGGTGGTACGTGCCTGTAATCCCAGCCTCTTGGGAGGCTGAGGTATTCTGTTACGGTAACAGAAAACAAATTAAGACATTCTTTATCACCATGAAGTTTACATTCTAGGGAAAGTTGGAGAAAATGAAGGTTGCTATCTTGTCTTGGTTGGTCAGATCTTTCCAATAAGATGACAATTGAACAAATACCTGAAATAAGTTAAAAAAAAAAGAAAAAGAAAAAGAAAAAATCAAGCCATGCAGGAAAGGAGTGTTCCAGGCAAAGGAAATAGCAAGCACAAAGAATGTGCTTTGGTATACAGAAGGAAAAACATAAGACTAGTGTAAGCTCCATGCGGCAAGAACTTTACTCACTGCTATTTTCCAGTATCTAAAATAATGTCCAGTAATAAAGGCACATGATCAATACCTATTGAAGGGATAAATGGAATATGGCTGAAGCAGAATGAGCCAGGCAGGAAAGAACTGGTCAGTCATATGAGGTTTTACACATGTAAGGCCTTGTAGGCCATGGTAAGGACTTAGTCCTTTACTTTTAGTGAGATTTGAAGTCAGTGTAGGATATTGAGCAGAGTAGTAACATGATCTGACATTCCCTTTTCTTTTTTATTTTACTTTATTTTATTTTAGGGACAAAGTCTTGCTCTGTCACCCAGGCTGGAGTACAGTGGTACAGTCTCAGTTCACTTCAACCTTTACCTCCAGGTTCAAGCAAGTCTCCCAAGTAGCTGGGATTACAAGTGCCCACCACCATGCCTGGCTAATTTTGTTTTTAGTAGGGATGGGGTTTCACCATATTGCCCAGGCTGGTCTTGAACTCCTGACCTCAGATGATCCACCCACCTCAGCCTCCCAAAGTGCTGGGATTACAGGTGTGAGCCACCACGCCCGGCCTGACATTCACTTTTAAAGGATCACTCTGGCAAATGACAGAACAGAGTACCTGACGGAAGCAAAGACAGAAGCAAAGAGGCTATAGCAAAATAATCCAGGCAAGACGATTACAGTGACTTGGACAGTACAGTAGCAGCAGAAAGGAAGAGCAATCATATGAATGCATTTTGAAGTTAGGGTCATGGGATTTAATGATATTTTGGATGTAGTATGGAGAAAGAAAGAAGCTGTAGAAGGCTAATGGTAAAGAACATACCTTTCTCCAAACAAATACCAATAATACTTAGGTTTGTACACACAGCTAAAATGTAGTATTTCTGACATTATATTTTAGGACATGCTCTCACTTTGGCATATCAAACAGTCAATAAGGAACACCTCCATTTTCTATCTTTTTTGTTTTATTATCAAAGCAAGACAAACTTTTTACAGAAATCTGGACTATACGGAAAAGCAAGCAGGCATATATAAAAACCTGTAATCTCACCACTCAGAGATGAACACTGTCTGCCATTTATCAAAGAAAACATACAAATATAACTTCAAATGGAATAATAATATCCTTGGTATTATAATCTTTTTGTTTTCCCAAATAATAATATACTGTGAACATCTCTCCATGTTTCCTTTTACCACATGACTTTTAAAGGCTGTAAACGTATGTTGGAAACTTAGGTTGTTTACATTTTTCCAAATCATAAACATGATAATGAGCATTATTTAGCTAAAAGTGAAAAGTTTAAAAAATTAAAGTAGGCATGTCATAAAAATTTTCTACAGAAAAGTAAGTCCTAATTAAAAGTCTAAGCTCTTCCAGAATAAATTAGATATGCCACAGATCATTCTTACATCAATTTTTTAAAAAGCATTTCATTTTTTAAAATCTTTTTGTGTGTAAAATAGAGAGTGTGTGTGAGAGTGTGTATGTGCATGTGTGTTGGGCAGCAGGAAAGACAGAGTACCACGTTTTTAATATACTTGACATTTGGGTCTAGCTTGAGGATACCTTACAAGATAGTGACAACCAGAATATATCTATTTATAGACAAAAAAGCACACACTTCTTTAATTTCAAACTTGAGCAGAAGATTAATGAGCTCCTCATTTGGGACCTCTGCAGCTTTTTTAAGTTCTGATCCTTTCATACTTTTACCAGTCTGTGGTTCCCCATCTTCAGCATCAAAATACTCATCATCAGACTCTAAAGGAAAAAGACATTTATTTGATCTGAGATATTGTACACTGAAAACTGCATGAAACACTCAAATCTGTTCATTTATTAGATATAATCTTCATATTCAGCATCAGAATATCTGCTTTTTTTTAAACTTCCACCAAGTGACTCAACCTGACATGTAATAATCACATTTAAAATCAAATAGCACTACGTTCTTTTCTTCAATGATTCTGTTTTTCACTATAGTTCATTCACTCAATATTCAACAAAATATTTATTGGGTATTATCTACCATGTATCAGGCTGTGCCAGCTACTAAGGATACCAGAATGACCAGGATAGACATGGTCCTGTCCTGATGAAGCTTACATTCTAGTTCAAAATTAAAACAGATCAATTAGGTCAGAGCTAGAGAAAAGCTCATGCAGAGATTGGGGCCAAAAAAGAGTAGTTTATTTAGAATCTTAAGTAAGCACTGTCAACTACCAAAAAAAAAAAAAAAAAAAAAAATCCCTTCATTTATCCAATGAAGACAGAAACTTGGGCTTAAAGAAGATAAGGGACTCAAAGTCACACTAATGTAGCACAACTAGAACTAAAACCAGTAAATTACTACAGCAGTTTCAGATGGCCCTTATTTTCTAAAAATGTTATCTCTGTATAACAATGTATAGGCTTAATTTAATACAGAAAGAGTATTTTACTTTCCTTACCTGATTCCACAGCATCTAGCAACAGTGAAGTACCAAGTAGACCTTTTGTCCCACCTGAAATAACTGGAATTGAGGATACCTAGCATAGAATACAAAAAGTTTTCTTAAAAACGATGACTCAGCAGGATTAAATGTGATAAATGAGAGGAAGACTAAAAAGTAATAGAGGATAAAGAGATATGGAAAGACACATACACACAACATAACACAATATACAAATCTTCCAACAAGATATATTGTGTAATCAACTAATAGTTGGCTACAATTTACAAATTATTAAGTCTACTGCCCACATTTACAAGGACAAAACTAAGTGTACCTCTAGTAAGTTAGTCTATTAGTACTGTATATCATTTACATTCTATCTATTACAATATTAAAGTACATCTTTTTTATAGGTCTCTGACACATGGTATCACCATGAGCTCGCTTTATCAAATTTCATTTCGAAGTAGAAATCCAACGTTTCTACTGTGTAAAGATCAATTCCAATTAAAGTGACCTACAACTTGTAAGTCTATCATATAAGGACATTTTATACCAATTGTTTTATTTGCAAGATTCTAAAGATTTTTGTTTACTTTTTCCCCCTCTAGTTTTATTTAAAACACATTTTATAAATTTGAAAGACATTTTAGTTTCATTTCTGTACTTTTGGTCCTTTCACTTATAAACCTTGCCCTGAAACTGACTTTTCATCACTGCTTTAAAACAATGGCAAAAATAGGTTTATACATTTTATTGTTTCTATTTACCTGTTTCTCTGGAGACTGGGCTGATGATTTCTGTGGCAAAGGTATACTGTTCATCAAATATAGCACATCTTTCATCTTCTGGTCAGAAATTCTCACATGCATCAAAGGAAGTCCTCCTGACACTTTAAATCTAAGATACAATTCAGTGGTTTTAAGTCAGCATCTCTATATTACAAACGAGGGAAAGAACTGCATTAATGTAATTAGATTAAAACATGCCTAAACTTTGGACATGTTTTAATCTAATTACATTAATGCCTCATTTAGACAACACTGGCAAGAAATCGAAAGTTCTATGTTAGCTAAGTTTCCAGATAATTTCAACATATCCCTCTTAAGTAGCCAAACCTTTTTAACTTAACTAATTTTTATGAAAATCTTTCCAAACACAATTCTCTACCTTTCAAAACCAAAACACTACTTCCTGGTATCAAAGATTTCTTATTATCAACATCAAAGAGTATCTACCTCATCACTCTCTATCCCATTGCCTTGCTTTATTTCTTTTTATATATAGCACTCGGCAGCACCTGACATCACATTTGTATTTGTTTATGTCTCCTCTAATTAAAATGTCAGCTCCATGAGGACATCTGTTTTACTCACTACTGAATCACCATTGTGATTTTATCAGTTACTTACTTTTTAGCAGGGGCTTCTATTCTGTTTCCCTATTCAATGTAATTGCCTCAGGTTTATTTGTCTCAATAGCCTTGTGGCAGCTATGTGCTGGTCATAAAGCTCTTCTTGGTGGTTGTTTATCTTTGGCTTCCTGACTAAGCTGTGAACAGCTCAAGCTGACATATGCCTAATTGCTAGATGTCACACTGGGATACAGTAAAGCACTACAGAGAAAGAAATATAAAGCACTAAATGCCTATACTGGAAAAGAACTAAGGTCTCAAATCAGTGACCTCAGCTTCTACCTTAAGAAACTAGGACTGGAAAGAAAATGAAATCCTAAGTAAACAAAAGAAAGAAATAATAAACATCAGAGTGGAAATCAGGGGGAAAAAAAGAATCAAAAGAGAGAAGATAATGGAAACCAACAGCCGGGTAGCTCAGAAGATCAACAAAATTGATAAACCTCTGATCAAGTGATCAGCAGAAAAAGAGAAAAGGCACAAATTACTAACATCAGGACTAAGAGAAATAACATCACTACAGATTCTTCGTGTATTAAATAGGTAAAAGGAAAGCAATACAAACAGTTTTATGCCATACATTCAACAACTAAGATGGACAAATTCCTTAAAACACACAAACAACTCAAAACACTAGGAACACACAGGTCATTCAAAAGAATAGATAATCTAGCCCTATATCTATGAAAAAACATGAATTTGTAGTTAAATACCTCTCAAAATGAAAACTCCAGGGCCAGATGACTTTACTGGTGAATTCTACCTAACATTTTAGGAAGAAATAATACCATTTCTGCACAACATCTTCCAGAAAACTCAATGTATGAGGCCAACATTATCCTGATACCAAAACAAGAAAAGCACAGACCAATATCCCTCATTAACACAAATATAAAACTTTGTAATAAAATTTTGGCAAAACAAGTCCAAAAGTATTTTAAAAGAATAATACATATGGGTTGAATATCCCTTATCAGAAATGGGACAAGAAGTGTTTCAGATTTTTTATTTTTCGAGATTTTGGAATATTTGTATTACATAATGAGATATCCTGCAGATAGGACCCAAGTCTAAACACGAAATTGATTTATGTTTCATTCACACCTTGCACACACAGTCTGGAGGAAATTTTATTTTAAAAATGTTAATAATTTTGTGCAAGAAACGAAGCTTGTGTTAAGAACTTATGTGCAGAATTTTCCATATGTGACATAACGTTGACTCTCAAAAAGTTTCAAATTTTGGAGTATTTCAAATTTTTGGTCTTTGGATTAGGGATGTTCATCATTACTAAGTGAGGTTAATCGGTAATGAAAAGTTGGTTTAACATCCACCTGATAAAGGGTATCAATAAACTACTGATACATACAACATGAATGAATCTCAAATTAATTATGCTGAATTAAAGTCGTCAAACAAAAAAATTAAAAGTCTAAGATTCTATTTATGTAAAATTCTAGAAAATTCTAACAAATCTATAGTGTCAGAAAGCAGACGAATGTTGTCCAGGGACTGGGGGAAGAGAATTTAAGTAGGGAAGGAAAGAAAGGAATACAAAGGGGAACAAGGACACTTCTGGAGATGATGTGTTCATTATCTTAACTGTGATGATGGTTTCGTGGCTATATAGCTAAGGCAATATTTATCAAACTGTAAACTTTAAATAGATGCAGCTTATTGAACATCAATTATATTTCAATAAATCTGTTTTTTGAAAGTATAAACATTTCAGAACTGTCTATTTAAATTCAAAATTACTTTTCTATTTTTTCTCAGGATTATATGGTATTTCATTATCAAAAGAGCCTCTAATGTTTTTGAAGATTTTATTTTGTTGATATTAAGTGTTGGATTAGATTCATTCAAAAACATGAACCATCAACTTTTATAGACTGTAAAAGTCCAAATATTTCTGAAGTAAGAGTTGATGTATAATTCAAATATACATTTTCTTAAAAATACATTTCTGCTGCAAAATGGAATAATCATTATTTTTTTCTGTCTCCCACAGAAATCTATCTTTGCTTCCTTAAATTCTAGCAACTGATGTAGACATATTTCACCTATTAATTTTCTAATATACAAGAAGCTCATACATTACCTGGCCATTCTTATGTCTTTTTCTACCATAGCTTTGGCCAACTCAACATGAATATCCATGGGTTGCAATATATGCATAGTTGATGGATGCTGAAATCGACACTTTTTCCAGTTTTCCTCTTTAAAAAATAATTTAAGATATTATGGTTTTTACAAACAGCCATGGAACATGGATAAATATTATTTTTAATGAATATTATTTTAAATTGTCAGACATTCTATGGAAAATCACTGTAAATTAATCCAGAGTCAATGATTACCAATTTTTACTTCTTTCAGCATATCAGTTAAATAATCTATGCTTTTTAAATACAGACTGACAAGATCAAAGACTGTGATATAAAATAATTACATTTGGAGAATGTTCACATTAACATCTTGCATTTCAAAGTAAACAGGAAAAACAAAGCCCAGGATCTATTACCTTAATTCCAGAAATAATGACCAAGGTTGATAATTACAGTGAAAAGATGAGGAAAAACAAGAAAAAAGAAAAAAAGAGGTTTACGGGGTTCCTAAGTACAATATTTACACCCAGCTTAGTACACAATTCCAAAGCAAAGATGAGTTTTAGCAAACAAAATTTCATGACCAAAAAAGTATAATAATCACTTTTCTTCAAATAAGAAGGTCCCAAAAACAGATTTTCCAATAACTAATAGAGAACTATGCAGATATTTATTGATGGCAATGACTGAAAATCTTTTATCACTTATAATTCAATTTTTTTTTTTTTTTCAGACAGAGTCTCACTCTGTCACCCAGGCTGGAATGCAGTGGCATGATCTGGGCTCACTGCAAGCTCTGCCTCCCAGGTTCATGCCATTCTCCTGCCTCAGCTTCCCAAATAGCTGGGACTACAGGCGCCCGCCACCACGCCGGGATTTCACGGTGTTAGCCAGGATGGTCTCAATCTCCTGACTTAATGATCTGCCTGCCTTGGCCTCCCAAAGTGCTGGGATTACAGGCGTGAGCCACCGCGTCCGGCCATAATTCAATTATTTTTAAGTACATACAAAAGAAAAGGCAGTTTTAATGGTCTGTGTAAATACTCCACTTCAAGGAATTAACAGGCTCTTAACACATGAAAAGTAAGTAGAGCATTATATATTTACATTTTAATAAGTCTCAACACTCCTACTAGTGTATAAACTCTGCACATGGAGACTATAACTATCCTTTCCTCTACTGACCTACCACAAAGTGATACTATGATCAAGGATAATTAATAAATATGTATTGTTTCTAGAAACTAAATAAGTCTAAAAAAATATTTACTTAAGCGTAGAAAACACCAAAGCTTTTGGAAAATAATTAAGTTAATTACCTTTAAGATATTAAGACTGTATCTACTACTTTGTAGATATATATTTTTCAGATATCTACAAAAGTAGAAAGCATAATATACTAGTAATACTATTGAAATAAAGACTAGGCTAATATAGTACAAGATTTAATAATGAAGGCAGCAAGGAAAATAATACTGAGTCATCCCAAAAGCAGTAAGACAGAAAAACATGAATCAATTGCAACTTCCATTTTGTGTTCTAAGCAGCTTTATAGTCACATTACAAAAATATAGGCTATGAATAGGCTTAGATTGAAATGGAGCTAGGTATCCTAAGATGACTACCCAAATTTCCATTTCTATTTATAAATGTTGCGGTAATTTACACTAATAGTGTCCTACATGGTTTATTTAAGCAGCCAAAAGAATATGTGTGCAAAATGGTTGTCAGGGTTGATATATAGGCACACATACATACATGTATGTTACACAAACTACCCAACATAATCCCAAGATCCTAAAAGTTGAATAATGGTTTACCTGCTCTTGCAAAAAGTAGTTGTACATTTTTTATTTCAACATCAAACTTGTCATAAGCCTTATCCATTATTTCTTCCAGAGATGAATTAGTAGTCTTCTGTAAACCTTGATCTTTACTGTTGAGCTAAAATGAAAGACAAATCTCAATTTTTTTTTTTCCAAAACAGAAAAGCACATACATCAACATACTTTAGCTAGGTTTCAATCTTGCATTTAGTCAGTTAAAACCTAACAAAATGAAAATATTGCCCTTAATGCATAAACATTTTAATTTTCAGACAATTATTTGTAAACAATTAAGAATATTTCAGCATACACCTCTATTAAAGTTGAGAAATAGGTGTTCAGCACATTTTCATGTTTGAGCTATCTGCCGCAAATAACTTGTCTAGATGTACAACTCCTCCTCTTCCTGGATCTCAGGAATTACTGCCTTTTATAGTCCAGCTCCCCTGACCCCCACCCTACACTCTTCACCATTAAATAGCAGCGTTTTGTTCCTTCTCTGCAGTATACCACAGGAATAATTAGACCACTATAACTCAGCTCCAAATTGTACTGCCTTTTCTCCCTTCCCGGTAGAAGCAAGGATCAATTCAGGAGTATACAAGGGATCTTCAAAAAGTCGATGGAAAATGCCCATTATGAAAAAACTATGCATGAATTTCAAAACTGTTTCGTACCAAAAGAAACTTGAACTAACTTTTTATAACATGACTGAACAGGATCTAGCTTGAGTCACTAAGAAGATTAAGACATCAGCTTGAAAAGGACCCCCCCATCATAGCAACATGAATTCTGCTAAAATTGAAGCAAAAAACAAATGTATGCTGAAGCTTGGGTGAAAGAATGGTGAAATCAGTAATGCTTTATGAAAAATGTATGGGAACAGTACCCCAAAGAAATTAGCAGTTTACAAATAGGTAACTAATTTTAAGAAGGGTCAAGACAATTTTGAAGATGAAGCCCACAGTGGCAGACCATGCACATCAATTTGTGAGGAAAAATTTAATCTTGTTCATTCCCTAATTGAAGAGGACTGATGATTAACAGCAGAAACAACAGTCAACACCACAGACATTTCAACTGGTTCAGCTTACACAATTCTGACTGAAAAATTAAAGTTGAGACAACTTTTTAATCAACAGGAGCCAAAACCACTGCGCTCAAATCAGCTACAGACAAGGGTAGAGCTTTTGATGGAAATTTTAAAAACAAGTGTGGGATCAAGATCCAGAAACATTTCTTCAAAGAATTATAATAAGAAATGAAACATGGTTTGGGCATGGGGGCTCACGTCTGCAACCCCAGCACTTTGGGAGGCCAAGGTGGGTGGATCACTTGAGGTCAGGAGTTCAAGACCAGCCCGGCCAACATGGTGAAACCCCGCCTCTACTAAAAATACACAAATTGGCCAGGTGTGGTAGCGTATGCCTGTAATCCCAGCTACTTGCAAGGCTGAGGCAAGAGCAACACTTGAATCCAGGAAGCGAAGGTTGCAGTGAGCCAAGATTGCACTACTGCACTCCAGCCTGGGCGACAGTGCAAGACTCTGTCTCAAAAAAAACAACATGGCTTTACCAGTATGATCTTAAGGACAAATCACAATTAAAGCAATGGTTATCACGATGTGAAAGTGGTCCAGTCAAAGCAAAAGTAGAGTAGTCAAGAGCAAAGGTGATGGCAACACTTTTTGGGGATGCTCCAGGCATTTTGCTTGTTGACTTTCTGGAGTGCCAAAGAACGACAGCATCTGCTTATTATGACAGTGTTTTGAGAAAGTCAACCAAAGTTTTAGCAGAAAAACACCCAGGAAAACTTCACCAGAGAGTCCTTCTTCACCACAACAATGCTCCTTCTGCTCATTCCTCTCATCAAATGAGGGCAGTTTTTGCAAGATTTTCTATGAGAAATCATTAGGTGCCCACCTTACAGTCCTAATTTGGCTCCTTCTAACTTTTTTTGGTTTCCTTATCTTAAAAAAAAAAAATCTATAAACAGCACCTATTTTTCTTCAGTTAGTAATGTAGAAAAGACTACAATGACATGATTAAATTCCCAGGACCTTCAGTCCTTCAGGGATGGACTAAACGGCTGGTATCATCACTTACAAAAGTGTCTTGAACTTGATGGATCTTATGTTGAGAAACAAAGTTTATGGTTTTTATTTTTATCTTTTAATTTCATTTTTCCACAAACTTTTCAAAGTCCCCTCATATATTTGAAATTGTCACCTTTTACTGGAGGCTTGGATTTCTACAAGATTCAAAATCCAATATCCAAAAGTTATCTTGCTCTACTTAGTTACTGACAGTGGTTTAATAAACATATATTCATATACGTACAATTTCCTATTGTCAAAATATATACGCAACAAATAACACTGTACAATTAAGCCCTGCTATGAAAACAGAAATGCTTCTTTCTAATTAGGAAAAGATAGAGGTAATCCAGTCCTTACTGTCAAATCACCTACCATTACAGAAAATTTGGAGGTTTTTTGTTTTAATAGTCATAAAACATATATAAAATACTCCAAGCTAGGCTTGAAAAACAGGTTAAAAAAATAAGTCTACATTTAGTTTAGTGAACTCTGAAGAAAAAAACAGCAAACTATTGGAGAGTTAGCTAGCAAACAGGTCAAAGATGGGCAGACAAAAAAATGCATATATACCTACCTGAAATGTACCAAAATCTAAAATCAGAAGATCTGACTTTTCATGGTGGAAACCTGTCTGTGGAACTACTAGATAAGAAGGCTTCAGATTTATCCTTAAATCAAGGACTTTTCGAGTTTCAATAATATGTGTAAGTCCTAAAGAAGGTAAGAAATAATGACATTAAATGGTCAAGTTGAAATACGTAATCATATTATTAACAACTAGAATAAGAATTTTACTTGAAAAGTATTACAAAGGAGTATTAGCTTTTCTCACAAATCAGATTCTCAATTCAGCATGTAAGGTGAAAATTGCATATAGCCAATAGGAAACAATTTATTATAGCATAGTATAGTAAACCCAACATAGCTAGTATTTTATGTAGGGATAGAAGAATTTATTATTTCCTTGGTTAAGGAACTGGATAAAATAGTTGGCTTGAGTTCAGAGGCCATGTTATATAAAAGTAAGTATCTTTCAAACTATATTCACACACAGTGTGATGAACAGTTTCTTAAGAACTGAGATGGAGGATGGTTTTCCACCTCAAGCTCATTCTGAAGCACAACTTCTTGACTGTAATGGCAGGAAGAATCGTCTGTACCCCATATTATGCTCTTTCTCACCTAGTCTAACAGGTATATTTGACTTTGAGTAAGCCATGTCCACTCTATACTGTAATACAGTCTGAGTTTAAAATAAAGAAAAAAAGCAACATAATATTTTGAACACAATGTTTACATTAAAGTAGACAAAACTTTTAAAACTTAGCTGATGCTTATGTAGACACTCAAATTCTTTACCTGTAGCTGTTCTCTCCTTAATTTCTTCCAGCTTCATCAATGTTGCTGATGTTATTTGCTCAAGATCCAAACCCTTATTTGATTGAAAGAATTCAACCACTGCATTGACAGTTTTCTATAACAAAAATTTTTTAATATAATCAACTTACACATAGTTCTTTCCATGTTGTAAACTTTAAAGTTTCACCTCAATTCTAAACAGCTGTAGTTTTGAACTGTGGAACTCCAAAGATATTCTGTCCAACTACATCTCCCCTTGGAGTAAAAGAGAACCTGGAGAAAGGAAGAGCCTAAGCAAGCTTACTGGAGAGGCAACAAATGTGCATATATCATTAAGGTGTAAAGTATGTTCTATAGTGTCATATGGATGTAGCAGCAGACATTACTTTTAGTTTTAGCCTCCAATTAGTCAGAAGGTGAAACTCTACTTCTCTATACTGTAATTAGATTCTCTTGCACTCTGAAGTTTAGAAAATTAAGAGGAAGAAAGCCATTTAGCTCTTACCTACATGCCAAATTTAAACTTTTAAAAAATCAGAGATTTTCCAAGATGAAAACAATTCTGGAGACTGGTTGTTTAACATTGTGAATGTACTTAACACTACTGAACTGTAAACTTAAAAACAGTTAAGATGTTAAATTGAGTTATGTGTATTTTACTACAATTAAAATTTTTTAATTATAAAATATAATGAGTTCTGCAGTCTTTATATACTGCCTCCCCTCCGCCGACCCACACACACACACACACACACACACACACACACACACACACACACACACACAGTGAATTTAGCTCTCAATTGTAAAGTAAAATTACATCAGGGATCTCAACAAGGTGGGGCGAAACTACAAGTGATGCAATGAGTAGTGAACCGTATCCATATTGCTCACTTGAGATATGGTGAGCAATCCATATTGCTCAACTTGAGATGGTGGGTAAGATAGCCTGAAAAAGGTAAAGCCATAGATACAGAAACTGAGCCAGCATTTCCAATAACATCTAAACACCAATGCTTTTTTCCATGTTAACAATATTTAAAATTCTTTTAATCACTCCTAAAGCTCTTTGAATTTGTTCCAAACATTGAAAGAAAAGAGAAAATACACAAAAAAGAACTGGAGTAGGAAGTCAACATGTAACAATTTGGGAGTAGTTGGCAAATAAACAAGAATATTTTAAAGTATACTAGATTATTTTAAATTTAACATAAGCATAGATAAATAAACCTTGCAGTAGGGAAAAATGTATTGCATATGAAAAAATCAAAATTAGCTCCTGAACATGTACTGCTTTTGAAACAAGAAAAACCTATTAGGAAACTTACCTATTAAGTAAATAAATGTTAAATATGAAAGAGGAGAAATAAGAAAATGTCTGGCATCCATATGCTCACCATGAAGGAAAAATTCTTCTTTTACAAATTTATTCACTTTAAATTAGAAAATTCAATATAAAATTGTCCACTCAAATAGGATGCTTACATTTTATTTTTGAATATGTCAGAAGTATAAGATGGTTTAAACAAAGAGTTACTTTCTCCTTGCACTTACAGCATCATAGATGACCTCCACAGGCTGAGACTGAACAATCAGAGTCTGGTCAGCAGGACTATCCTCTGGATTGGTTTCAAATTTAATTTTAAGCAAGGATGATGTAGTGTCACCAATTGAAGCCACAAGTGATGGTACAATATCCTGCTGTCTCAAACCTGTTATATACCAGTGTTCTAATTTTGCTTCTACCCTATAATCCAATGAAGAACAAGGAAAGACACATATAAGGTCTTTCGTAATCTAATGGGCTAAAATACAAATTTCCCTTTAAACACTTCTTTGAGAACCAGGACCATCCATGCATCTTATCTAAAGCTGAAGCTCAACCTTCTTATCCAGGCATTCAATTGCTTACACACAATCTGGTTTGCTGCTCTTGTTGTTTTAATTAACTCCTTTCATCTACATGAAAAACTCACTTTAGCCAACTTTAGAATACTGTAAAAGTTCTGATCACTGTTGTATGAATAAAAGATCACATGACATTGATGAACTCCTCTCCTACTTCTATGCCACCCTTAATACCCTCTTACTCCATTCCAGCTTCTCCTAGTCATTTCCATTCGGCTAACCTAGACCTTCTCCTAGCTCAGTTATTCTCTTCCACAACTAAGCTTGTATAGCATTAACTATGAGGCATTTAATTTTACAATACCTTCTCACCCTAGAGCTGTCTAACGTCATATAGTTCTCGAATTATTAACTTCTTGCATATCTTTTATTAGCTATAGCATACATTTCTTGAAAACAAAAACTTATTGTACTTGTCCATAACTTTCACAGTATTGAGCCTATAAATTAAATACTATCCAATAAATATGCACAAACGAAAGGAGGGAGGGCAGAACAAATGATGAAATACCCATACAGCATCATAACAAAACAAAAGCAAGTATAAAAAGACTATCTTGACATATACATGCAAGAGAAATTAAAGAAGAGCTGGCATTAATCATTTTTAATCCTGAATAACACACCACATTTTTTGCCTAAAACTATAACTAAAAATAAAAATTGAAATAAATTTTTAAAAACTTACTTAAGTGCTTGTGCTCCTGGTCGCTGAAATACTTGAGTGCCCAGCCCAATTATCTGAATTTTTAGTATTTCTGGAATATTCTTGTTTTCTCTTATCGTAACAGAGGTGCTTACTAACTTCAGGGTCATTATATGGGCAACATACTATACAGAAAGAATAAAATTAAAATTGTTAAAGTTTAAATAACTATTACTTTCTTTAATAATTTCTTATTTAAATTTGTTGAATTATAAAGCAACCTAACAAATAGAGCATGGTAGGTTCTGGCATCCATATGCTCATCATAAAGGAAAAATTCTTCTTTTACAAATGTATTCCCTATAAATTAGAAAATTCAATATAAAATTGTCCACTTAAATAGGATGCTTACAAAAGATCTAGAAATTCATTTCTCTGAAGTTTTATTTTATTTTTGAGACACAGTCTTGCTCTGTTGCCCAGGCTGGAGTACAGTGGCTCAATCATAGCTCACTGCAACCTCCACTTCCCGGGTTCAAGAGATTCTCCTGACTCAGCCTCCCAAGTAGCTAGGATCGCAGGTGCCCATCACCATGCCAAGCTAAGTTTTGTGTTTTTAGTAGAGACGGGGTTTCCCCATGTTGGCCAGGCTGGTCTCGAACTCCTGACCTCAGGTGATCTGCCCACCCCGGCCTCCCAGAGTGCTAGGAATACAGGCAAGAGCCACCGTACCCAGCCTTCTCTTAGTTTTATAGGTTATAACAATGAAACAATTACAAAACATTTTGTGGCATATTCAATTCAGCAGCTTTTTCTGAAACAAACTAAGTATTTCAGAATAATCCTGTGGCTGAAGGAAAAACATCTGCTTGATTGCTGTGAAGAGTTAGTAAGACACTGAGAAAATAAATCCTGACCCCAAAATTACTGAGTCAAGATTGAAGGTAAAACAGAGAACCAGGGAGATGATCCTGGAATCTGGGGACCTGCTTCTCCTAGAGGTATTCGGAAATTTCAGAGGGGACAGCCTAGGGGCTGTGAAGCTAGGCTAGCAGGGTCAAAATTGGAAACCAGGTCCCATCAAAAGGTAAAGGCACTGATAAAACACATTATTTTGCCTGGGACCCTAAAGGGTTATATCATAAGAGTAAAGGTGAACTGGAAGCAGGCAAACTCCCATGATCTGGCAGCACAAAATCAAATCATCTCAATACCTACAGTAACAATGATTGGTGCACGTACACACACACACACTCTTTCACACACACACACACACACACACGTACACACACACACACAGGCTAACTAGATTCATGACCAATTGGAACAAAAACCAGCAGAAACAACAGAAAATAGATTCACAGGAGCTCTAGACATCAAGAGTCTAATTTTAGACTTACTCAGACTACGAGATTTATTAGGGTCAAAGACATAAAAGATAAAACAGCATGTTAGCAAGAACTTGGAAGCTATAAAAAAAAGAACCAAATAGAAATTCAAGAACTGAAATAGACAAAAACCAATTAAGAATTCAATAAATGAGTTTAATAGTAATATACAAAGAGCTGAAGAGAGAATTAGAGGAAACTAGCCAAAGAATAAACAGATAAAGAACTTGGAAATACCTCAGAGAAAATAAGACACACATGATATTATGAAAAGAGCCTACTATGTACATTAGAAGTCCCAAAGGATGAAGTATAAAAGAATGATGGGAAATAAAACTGGGAAGTGACGATTTTTTTCCCATATTGATGAAACCTCAAGATGTCCAAACAGGAAGAAGTCCAAACAGTATAAACAAAAATGAATACATATCTAGTCACATCACAGTAAAATTACTGAAAATCTAAGGTAAAGAGATTTTCTTAAAAATAGAAAAATGAGAGAGATGGGTGGAAATTACCTTCAAAGTGATACAGTAAGACTAACAGCTGAATACACAAAAGAAAATGCAGGCCTAACAACAATGAAATTATATCTTCAAAACTCAGAAAATCATTAACAACCTAGAATTCTATACACAGAAGTATCCTTCAAGAAATAAGGAAAAATAGACATTTTTCAGAAAAAAAAAAAATTTAAAAACTTGTCACCAGCAGAACTGCATTTAACAAAATAATATAATCGGCATTGTTCAAGTAGAAGGAAAATTACTGACAGATGGTCAGAGACACAAAAAGGAATTATGTGACTGGAATATTCAATATTGCTAAAATTACAACTGTCCCCATAATAATTTACAGATTCAATGTAATCTCTAACAAAAGTAGCATGTACTTTTGAAAACACTGATGATTCTAAAAGGTACATATAAGTGGAAAAGGCCTAAAATAGCCAAAACACTCTTAAAAAAAAAAAAAAAGAGGCCAGGCATGGTGGCTCACACCTGTAATCCCAGCACTTTGGTAGGCTGAGGCGGGCAGATCACGAGGTCAGGAGTTCGAGACCACCTTGGCTAACACAGTGAAACCCCATCTCTACTAAAAATACAAAAAATGAGCCGGGCGTGGTGGCGGGAGCCTATAGTCCCAGCTACACGGGAGGCTGGGGCAGGAGAATGGCATGAACCCAGGAGGCGGAGCTTACAGTGAGCTGAGATTGCACCACTGCACTCCAGCCTGGGTGACAGAGTGAGACTCTGTCTCAAAAAAAAAGAAAAACAAGTCAGAGGTCTTACTTTAAGACTTATAAAACTATAATAATAAGTACATTAGTCCATTCTCATGCTGCTAATAAAGACATACCTGAGACTGGATAATTTATCAAAGAAAGAGGTTTAATGGACTCATAGTTACACATGGCTGGGGAGGCCTCAAAATCATGGCAGAAGGCAAGGGAAGAGCAAAGACAACGTCTTACATAGCAGGCAAGAGAGCTTGTGCAGGGGAACTCGCATGTATAAAACCATCAGATCTCACAAGACTTCCTCAATACCACAAAAACAGTATGGGAGATACGCTCCCAATCATTCAATTTTTTCCACTTGGCCCCGCCCTTGGCACGTGGGGATTATTACAATTCAAGGTGAGAGTTGGGTGGGGACACAGCCAAACCATAGTATCAAGATTGGGGCCATAAGTGTAAAAATAGACAACGAGTTCAATGAGAGTCTAAAACTATATCCACACATATAAAGTCAATTTATTTTCAACCAAAGGGACAACTCAATTCAATAAGAAAAAAAATGAAGTATTTTTAAAATACTGCTCAAACAACTGGATAAACATAGGGAAAAAATAAACCTCAACCCACATGCGACTCCAAATACAAAAATTATTTTAAGATGAATACTAAACTAAAGATAAAACCCAGAACCCCATAAGTTTCTAGGAAGAATACATAGGAGAGTATCTTTGTGACTCTGAGGTAGGCAAAGGTTTCTTGAACAGATCTAATGTTAGCAGTAACCATAAGAAAAAAGACTTCATCAGCAGAAAATTAAAATTGTTTCTCATAAATAACTACCATTAAGAAAATCAAGAGGCAAGCCACAAATTAAAAATTTTATACATGCACCTATAGCAAAATGTACATATCTATATCTATCTATACACAAACACAACAAAAGTCTTGTAGGCAAATATAAAAATAACTTCCACAAACAACAATAAAAGGACAAACAATCCAATTTAAAAATGACCAAAAATCACACATGAACAGAGATGGCCAATAAGACATGAAAAGACAGTCAACATCTGTATTAGTCTGTTTTCACACTTCTATAAAGAACTGCCCTAGACTGGGTAATTTATAAAGGAAAGAGGTTTAATTGACTATCTTTCAGCATGGCTGGGAGGCCTCAGGAAACAAAATCATGGCAGAAGGCCACGGGGAAGCAAGGTACCTTCTTCACAAGGTGGCAGGAAGGAATAGTGTTGAGTGAAGGGGGAAGAGGCCCTTATAAAACCATCAGATCTCATGAGAATTAACTCACTATCACAACAGTGTGGTGGAAACCACCCCCATTACTCAATTATTACTACCTGGTCTCTCCCTTGATGGCGGTGAGGGGTGGATTATGGGGATTACAATTCAAGATGAGATCTGGGTGAGGACACAAAAGCCTAACCATAACAACATCATTAGTCATTAGGAAAACGCAAATTAAAACTATAGTGGAGGAACATATCAAATCTGCTTAAATGGCTAAAATTAAAAAGCCTGACAATATCAAATGTGGCAAGAATATGTAGCATCTGTAACTAGTGGGAGGAATATAAAATATTACAACTTTCAGAGAAGTGTTTGCCAGTTTTTAGAAAAGCTATACATATTTACCCTATGACCCAGCAACTCTACTCCCAGATATTTAACTCAAGATAAATAAAAAACGTATCTCCACCAAAGACTTGTACAAGTATGTTCATAGCAGCGTTATCTGCAATAGCCAAAACCAGAAACCACAAACATATATATCTATAGGAAATAGATAAGAAATTATGGTATATTCATACAATGAAAACAAAATAACAGTGTTGGTAGTAAAAAACAAAAAGAAATAAAAGATACGATTACCATAAAAATCAGGATAATGGTTACCTTTGGAGAAGCAATGATGGAGGACGTAGGGGCTTCTAAGGTGACAGCAATATGCTAAATCTTGACCTTCATAATAATTAAACACTGTTCCCTTTTTAGTCAATGAAATAGGCAGTACATTTTGGTTTTGCTTTCTCTTTTATATATGTTATGCTTCACAATTTGAAAAAAATTTCTTAGGATAAAAATTTTTTAAGATTCTATTTAGCACTATAATAAGCACTTTTGTCAGGTTATTCTTAAGTTCACTAAAACTACTTAAATCTAAAGTTGGAGGCTGGGCGCAGTGGCTTACGCCTGTAATCTCAGCACTTTGGGAGGCTGAGGATGGCAGATCATCTGAGGTCAGGAATTCGAGACCAGCCTGGTCAACATGGCGAAATCCCATGTCTACTAAAAATACAAAGATTAGCCAGGTGGGGTGGTGGGTGCCTGTAATCCCAGCTACTCGGGAGGCTGAGGCAGAAGAATTGCCTGAACCCAGGAGGCAGAGCCAAGATCACACCACTGCGCTCCAGCCTGGGTGACAGAGCGAGACTCCATCTCAAAAAAATAAAAATAAAATAAAGTTGGAGAGAGAATCTGACTGAAAGCATTTAACCATTAAGTAGCAGAGTGGAACTGAAAATATTTTTATTACTTAAAAAAAATCAGTAACTCTAACCCAATTCAATCTAATATAGTATAATGAGACAAAATTCCTTTAAACCACTTATATAATTACCTGCTTAGGTAAAGTTAGGTTGTGAGTACTCTCACTATAACCAATGGCAGTGAAGAGTTTATCTTTTTCCTCTGGAGTCATAAGGTCATCAATACCTATGAAAAAACATTTTAAGAAATTAATTGCTTCCATTTTACAGATATAACTAAAAAGACTAACCAAACTAACAAGTATCCTAAAATCAACAGACACAAATGCTAAAGCAAAATTGCCAGGTAATATCCGCTAATATACTACCACTTTGACAAAACATATTCTATTTGCTTGCTAAGGTCAAGAAAAGGCAGAGACACCATTAAGGAAATTCAGTTCTAATATAAGGATTTCAGAATTCCCTAAGTATTTTAAAACATAAGCGAAACTTGTAATTAAATATCTATGCAAAAGGTAACAAAAAATGCTAAATGTTGAGACCTCTAAGTTTAAACATTTTAAATTTGACATAAATATTATTTCACAAACAAAAAAATCAAAGTTTTATTTTAGTCTAAGTTTTATTTTAGATAAACATAGGAATATTCCAGCTTGATGTGTCTGCTTACATATTTGCTATACTGAGCTAATTTATTTCAAATGTATTTCAAAATAAAATTCAACAGGAAGATATAATTTACATAGTGGTTTTTTGTTTTTTTGTTTTTTTGTTTTTCACTTAACACTGTACAATAACTTATCTGACTTGGAACTTACTTTCAGGAATCAATGATTCTTCGTCCTTTTTCTTAGACTCTTTCTTACCCCAAAACCCACTAAACCAGCCTCCACGTTTCTCGCCTGTGTCAGCAGACTTTTTCCTTAATTTTTGCCCAGACCGAATCACCTAAAAAATAAAAATTAAAAAATTTACTTGAAGAATGTTGCCCTCTTCATTTTCAGGTATAGCCTGGAAAAAAATAATGGTTCATTTTTTCTTTAACGCTACGTAAGATTGAACCAGTCAAGATCTTAAATGACGCTCACAACATAATTTAGTTAAATGTAGTCCCCCTGTTAGTTGATTAATACTTCTCACACCAACTGATAGCATTTTGACGAGGCTGCATGTTATGAGCTATATAGTTAAGGTTCCAACTAAAATATTTCCACACAACGTTACTTCCAAATTTTTAAGTTAAGGAGCCACTAGAACTCCATGTTTATAAAATGAAAAGTTCCTTGAAAGGGAACACACCCAAAAAAATATTAATTTGAAACAATTATATTTCAGAATTCATATATATTGCTGGCTTGCTAACTAAGACAATGGCAGAAGGAGGGATATAAATTAAAATAGTCCTTGAATCTCATTTCACCCTCTTTTTTCAACAAATCCTGAGTAGATTTTCTATCGTTCCTTGTCTTTCCCACTTTTCAGAGAAATATAGACGAATAACCAAAGACAGAAAACAGGGATAAAGAAAATAAAGGGGATAAGTAATTTAGATTCTATGTTCTCATTCCCTGAATAAGTAAATTTCAATAATTTTTCCACTTAAAGTATTTTAAAATGGTAGTGAATGGATAACATATTGTAAGCCTCTGTGTGTAATAAAAAGTGGAATAATACAAAAGAGAAGATGCAAGTAAAGAGTTGAATTCTATAGTAAAGAGAATAGGTTTGATTGGTGAATGTAAAGACTAAGGATGGGCAAAATGTTAAACTTTTGTCACAAGCTATGAATGAGTGTGTACATTTTCAAGCCCTGTTTGAAACTGCAAGAGGAAAATGAATGACAAATCAGCTATTGTGGATACCACAGCTCAGTGGGATTCAATCCTTGCTGCACAAAAGAATCATCTAGAAGATTTATGAGAAAAAATGCCAAAACCAAAGCCCCACCACACAACAATTAAATCAAATCTTGAGAGAGTGGGTTCTAGTTAGGCACTGTTTTTTGTTTTGTTTTGTTTTGTTTTGTTTTGTTTTTGTAAAAATGGTAATGTAATTTTTAATCATAGTTTCTTTTTTTTTTTTTAGTTTTTTTCTTTTTTTTTTAAATTTATTTATTATTATTATACTTTAAGTTGTAGGGTACATGTGCATAACGTGCAGGTTTGTTACATATGTATACTTGTGCCATGTTGCTGTGCTGCACCCATCAACTCGTCATTTACATCAGGTATAACTCCCAGTGCAATCCCTCCCCCCTCCCCCCTCCCCATGATAGGCCCCAGAGTGTGATGTTCCCCTTCCTGAGTCCAAGTGATCTCATTGTTCAGTTCTCACCTATGAGTGAGAACATGCAGTGTTTGGTTTTCTGTTCTTGTGATAGTTTGCTAAGAATGATGGTTTCCAGCTGCATCCATGTCCCTACAAAGGACACAAACTCATCCTTTTTGATGGCTGCATAGTATTCCATGGTGTATATGTGCCACATTTTCTTAATCCAATCTGTCACTGATGGACATTTGGGTTGATTCCAAGTCTTTGCTATTGTGAATAGTGCTGCAATAAACATACGTGTGCATGTGTCTTTATAGCAGCATAATTTAGAATCCTTTGGGTATATCCCCAGTAATGGGATGGCTGGGTCATATGGTATATCTAGTTCTAGATCCTTGAGGAATCGCCATACTGTTTTCCATAATGGTTGAACTAGTTTACAATCCCACCAACAATGCCATCCCCATCAAGCTACCAATGTGTTTCTTCACAGAATTGGAAAAAACTGCTTTAAAGTTCATACGGAACCAAAAAAGAGCCCGCATCTCCAAGACAATCCTAAGTCAAAAGAACAAAGCTGGAGGCATCACGCTACCTGACTTCAAACTGTACTACAAGGCTACAGTAACCAAAACAGCATGGTACTGGTACCAAAACAGAGATATAGACCAATGGAACAGAACAGAGTCCTCAGAAATAATACCACACATCTACAGCCATCAGATCTTTGACAAACCTGAGAGAAACAAGAAATGGGGAAAGGATTCCCTATTTAATAAATGGTGCTGGGAAAATTGGCTAGCCATAAGTAGAAAGCTGAAACTGGATCCTTTCCTTACTCCTTATACGAAAATTAATTCAAGATGGATTAGAGACTTAAATGTTAGACCTAATACCATAAAAATCCTAGAGGAAAACCTAGGTAGTACCATTCAGGACATAGGCATGGGCAAAGACTTCATGTCTAAAACACCAAAAGCAACAGCAGCAAAAGCCAAAATTGACAAATGGGATCTAATTAAACTAAAGAGCTTCTGCACAGCAGAAGAAACTACCATCAGCGTGAACAGGCAACCTACAGAATGGGAGAAAATTTTTGCAATCTACTCATCTGACAAAGGGCTAATATCCAGAACCTACAAAGAACTCAAACAAATTTACAAGAAAAAAACAAACAACCCCATCAAAAAGTGGGCAAAGGATATGAACAGACATTTCTCAAAAGAAGACATTCATACAGCCTACAGACACATGAAAAAGTGCTCATCATCACTGGCCATCAGAGAAATGCAAATCAAAACCACAATGAGATACCATCTCACACCAGTTAGAATGGCGATCATTAAAAAGTCAGGAAACAACAGGTGTTGGAGAGGATGTGGAGAAATAGGAACACTTTTGTTTTGTTTTTTAATTCCCCTGGTGATTCTAACATGCAGCCAAGATTCAGAACCACTGAGATGACAACAAACTAGTTTCCTTCAACAGCAGAGATCATGATACAGAAAATTAATTGCTTCAACAGTTTCACAAGTAGATGAAACTGAGCTATTTTGGAAATGACACCCAATTAAATGTATATCATCTGAGTGTTTCCGCTTTTAAGAATCTTCTATGAATTCTTTTAGGGAAAATGCAACCAGAGACTTCAAATTTAAACCTCTCTTAGATACTGAGACTTAATAAATAGATGAATTTATAAATAGTTTTTATAAATCTAAATGCAGAAAAAGCTATAAAGCATTTGGATATTTTGTTAACATCTCTTTTAACCAAACTGATAGTTTTAAGTTTTAAAACGGCAGGCACTAAACTGTATTTTTTCATTGTTACCATCTTCTTAGCTATCATAAAAATTATTCTTTATAAAAATAGATAATACATTTTTTTACACTTTGGGGGAAAGAAGCCTTTTTATTTTGGAAAAAATTAATTAACCAAAATTAACCTTTTTAAAATATCCTGATAAGAGACATCAAGATAATATGGCAACAAATCCCAACATTCAACTTCCTCCCAAATCTCTAAATATCTAATAACCTTTCAAAGAAAGATAAAGCCATTATTAGCATTAGCATTGAAAACCTAAAGATGTGATCAGCACGCTACAAATTTCAAGGAATTTCAAAATAAACTGAAAATTTTAGACATAATAAAGAGAAAAAGAGATGAATTAGTAGGAAAGCACACAATCAAAAATACTAATTTCAAACAATAAGAAAGGCTTTGAAGAAAATGAAGTAACAAAGAACAGTGAAGAAAAGTTTTCCTATGTTTGTCAATCCCCACTTAAAAATAAGTAAGAATTAACATTTAAAAATATGAAAGCTGTCACAGAACTATACACACACATCATACCGATGTCAAATTCTTGGTTTTGGTATTGTTCTATAATTACATTGATGTAACTTTTGGGAGAAACCGGGTGAAGGGTACACAGGACCTCTGTGAACTATCTTTGCAACTTATTATAAACCTATAGTTATTTCAAAACATATATACATATATGGGAGACCAAAAATAAATAAAAATATATAAATGAGACCTAATATGAAGACGGATGCAGAGCCCTTTCCCTTTTCCTCAATTACCCTTTGTTGCCTTCACTTCCTTCTCTGTCCAACTAAGTGCCCATGGTAAATAACTTCAGCCAATCCTCTGCCTGCATTTTAAACTCTGGCCCTACATACTTTCCATTACAATGAAAAAAATCAATGTTAGATGGATCTAATTGTATTCTCTTCTACATCCATCATTCTTTGTCTACTGCATCTCATAATTAGTACCCTTTCTTCACTTTTTAAGCAACTGTAGCTGATATTAAGAATACACATTTAAGCTAAAGCAACTTAAGTCGTGGAGGATTAAAATTAAATTGATTCATTCCTCTCTGTCATAGGAACAATCCCCAGCAACAGCAAATACCTTTCAAAATAGTCATACTTTCTGACCTAACAACTTGTACCTTGGGGAATTTGCCTGTGAGAAAATAAGGGATGTTTGAAAAAATGTAGAGATAAGGCTATTCATTGTAGAGTCACTTACAATTAAATATAACCAGTGAGAAATAGTGAAGCAAATTCTGGTATATGCACAGAGTGGAATACTATTCAGTTTTTTTTTTTTTTTTTGAGATGGAGTCTCACTCTGTCACCCAGGCTGGAGTGCAATGGCGTGGTCTCCGCTCACAGCAACCTCCGCCTCCCGGGTTCAAGCGATTCTCCTGCCTCAGCCTCCCGAGTAGCTGAGATTACAGGTGTGTGCCACCACACCTGGCTAATTTTTGTATTTTTAGTAGAGACGGGGTTTCACTATGTTGGCCAGGCTGGTCTCAAACTCTTGACCTCGTGATCTACCCATCTCAGCCTCCCAAAGTGCTGGGATTACAGGCTTGAGCCACCATACCCAGCCTCTATTCAGCTATCTTAAATGATGTCAGAAAAATGGTTCTGCTGGCACTGAAAATGGGCACTATAATTTTGTTAAAGAAAGAAAAGCAAGTTACAAAACCTTCTCTTGACTCCACATTGTCCACCACTTACTGCTCCATTTATCTGCTCTGCTTACAGCAAAGAATCATACTGTTCCTATTCAATGTCTCCCGTTCCTATCAAGTTTCTGCCCACATTATTCTATAAAAATTGCTCTCAAGTGACTTCTTTATTACTAATTTCAGT